GGAGAAAGGAAATGCATGGGGTCAAAATCATTTTGGTCAGGGGCTGTATTACAAAGGTCTCCATTGTTGCCTCTGCTCAGGAGGTGAAGTGATCACCTGCGTTTGTCTGTGAGCAACAAACCTCAAACAGTTATAAGAGGATTTGACATTTTATGGCATTATGTGAGTCATACACATTAAAATGCCTGAGGATATAGTAGCTAAATGAGTACATTTGACCCATTTTTAATAGTATAAAATAATTACAAGTTTTAGTTAAAAATAAAAAAGGAAAAGTTGAGGACATATACTGTGAGTCACTTTATGGTTTTGGGCTTCCTAATTTATAAATAATCTAATCTAAATCTTTTTTTAATTTTTATATCAATACTGGAATATCTGAGACGAGTTGTTGCATCTTGCCTGTATGTTTTCAGGATGCACTGCAGAAATTGCTTACATTTTAATCTATTTTTTCAGATAGATCCAGATATCGGTTAATATTGGGTATCGCAGATAACAAAAGACCAAATATGTCGGTACCAGAACATCCCTAGCTATCAGTTAAAACAACAACAACACAAAGTTGTCATCTATAGTTACTTGCTAGATTAGTAAGTTAGCTGTGATTTGGGGGGAAAATTCTACTTTCAGCTTGTGCACTGGATCACGGCCTCTTCTATGATTTACTGGCACATTTTATTTCAACTCCTCTCAGCAGATCTGACTTATAACTGATGCACCAGTCCAGCTTTCTCACATCCCATTCCAATGCTGACACTGTATACAACTATAGGAACTAAAAGTCTATTGTAATGAACTCAAATCAAAGTGAACTAACTACAGAAGAGTTTCTATTAGGTTCACAATAGACACGTTGTTCTATGGGTACAATACAATTTTATGTCTAATTTCATAGGAGCAAAGAAGTGGCCGACTCTTCTCCCGAAAAACAATAACTTTACTATTATAATTTCTGATTATACAGCATTACTTGACAAGAGAAATATAAGTCTGTTTTCTGAGCAATATCGACACTTGTAAATCAACTTGACAAACGTTCTGAGAATTGTAACACTGTCTTAGAGCTAATAATGGCCTGACAGAGCGCATTAGTGGCCTCAGCTATGACTTGAGACTGACATCAGCAGCTTCAGCTTCTGGGGCTGAGAAACGCTGCCGTACTCCCCGCACTGGCAAAATGTCAATAAAGGTTAGTGTTTGTAGAAAGGACGCCGAGACCTGGGAGCAAAGCGTACTACAGTTGTGACTTCAGGCCCTTGGCTGATCTTGTTTTATTGTTGTTATTTCAGAAGGCATAATGACCGAACGTGTGAGTGGGTCAGGGCTGCCACAATATTTTTTTAGGATAACCATTGCTATTAGAATTTCTGATTTTTGTTATGAAGCTAGGGTAATGTTCAATGTGCACAAGGAGGATTTAAATCAGAAGGGAACATCTGGGGTCGCCGGGATCATTATCAGTACCATATCACCCCAACTCTCCAACAGCTGCACTGGCTCCCCATAGAACAAGGAATCAACGTTAAAGGGCTCAACATCACGTTCAAAGCAATCCATAACCTGTCTCATGAATACCTGTCTGACCACACCCTCTCTCCCCCTCATCTCCTCCCACTCTCTCCATCTCTCTGTCCCCTCTTTCTGACTCAACACCGTGGGGAGCAGAGGATTCAGAGCAGCCCCAGCTCTGGAACTCGCTCCCCCCTGACCTCCGCGACACAGAGGTCAGGGAGGGGTGAGATCAAATGGTTCTGTTGCATGTTGGGTTTATGATTGTTTGCAATGTTTTTAACCCGGTTTTGTACAGAGTTCTTGAATGTTTCCTAAAGCACTTTCAAATAAAATGTATAGGATCAAATACAAATATTATTATGAATTATCATCATCATCATCATTATAACTGTTACTATTATACATGATTACGTACTTTAACTTCTTTATCTGTGTTGTCTGTTGGTTTGCTGCTCTATTTTACCGCATTTTGTTTCACTGCTTACTCCTGTACAGCACATCAACTATTTTGTTCATGAAATGGGCAATACAAATAAAGTGGATTTGGATTTAATTTTTGTCAAATTGAGTAACAAGCAAGATCCCACTTAAAATACAACTGTGCTTTAAAGTTAGATATAACTGAGCTTGCCTTTTCCATGAGCAGATAAAACAATGTACTCATTTAAAGGTGATGACAGATACTAAATATTTCAGAGAATGAAATATTTTCTTAAGAATGTATTTTATTAAATACAGTAAGTATATCCCAACAGAAATATAATCCAAATAGTCCCTCCCCTTGGCATAACGAGGGGCCTCAAATATTTGAATTCATTTTGACCAATCAGGAAGTTGCGGAGGTAAACAGGGGTAAGTCTAGGGTCTCCAGTGCAGTTCTTAACAAAGTTTCAATCTCTTTTCACAATTTCAAAAGTAACAGATATTCACTTCATAATACACCTTATTTATGCACATATTTAGATTGTTGACATGTTCTGTGGTCCTTGTTTTGTTTAGCCTGTTGCTCTAAACACAGGCATGGTCAAATTGGTATAGTTATGTAACAAGATGATTAGCTGTTTGTAAGAAATAATGTATTCCAAATTATAAACTAAAATTGCAATTTCGTTAACGTTCAAAGAGGCAGCGCGAGCCTGAGTCTTGATTACTGTTTTTTCCCCACCGTCGCAGCCCCATCATCGTCCGCAGTGACTGAATTCAAGCTCGTCCTTTTATTTGCTTTATTTCCTGAGATCAGCTATAAAGAACAAACACTATTAAGCCGGCCAATCAATATGGGACATCAGCGCTCATAGCCCCCCTTCCGCAAAAATAGATTTATATCCTCTGCTTCTGCAACATAAATCACATATTCATACATTAAATTAAAACGGTGATTGATAGGGCTGCGTTGGAAAGTGTGTACAAATGCTTATGGTGTAAAAAACAAATATTATTTGGGAGCCGCTGAGAGTGAAGTCGAAAAGGAAAAAATCATTCATAGCAGCTTTGTGATGACATGTAAGTAAACAATGAGTAGACACAATTATTTAAACCTATGCAGGAAACGATGCATTTAATTAACTATAGAAATATTGGGAGATTGTAACTTGGTGAAAACTGTCTCGAGGCTATACTGAATAATCCATATGTAGAAGCCTGTTGAAGTAGACATGGTATTTTTGTGTGTTTTTGAATGTAAAGATCAATGTGTACAATGACAATTCACAAGTCACTTTATCCACTTTGTTATGCACTTACTTCATAAACAGTCAGAGCCATCACTGTAAATATTACTCTGAAACATCCTACTGATCATTCCTGAAAAGGGGGCATCACAAGTTTATATTTTTGCATTTTTGACCTTGTAGTGACCCAGCAGCATGGTGCCTTTAACTTCCATCGCAGTGGTCTCTAGGATTCTATCGCATACATTGTTTTTTAAGTCTTAAGTCTAAAACCAACAAAGCAATTGATCCTAGAGTAATGTAGACTGTCAAACTAATACAATGTTTAATCACGATTAATCGCATTAATGTTATAGTTAACTCGTGATTAATTTATTAATTGATTTTAGTTTGAAAAGGGATTGAATGAAGCCAAAGCTATTAATCCAGGTTTTTTGTATTGCCGAATAAGGCGACTCAATCTATGCTTTTGTTATTGATTGTTAGTGTAAAATAAGTATTTAATATATTACAAATGACTTGAATGGTCTTATAAAGGAAACTATTTTGTTAATGTTTTCATTCAAGTCATTCAGATGGTTAAGGTCAGGGATCGTCAGCCCAAAACATGGCCCAGTCTTGTAGGTCACTGCTCTGAGTGGATGGATCCCCGTTGGCTACTGTCACTTCCCAGGCCCTCTCCAGCGCCTCTCTGAGGAGAAACCATCTCGATCTGTCTCTGGAAGTCCCACAGGATATTACCACCTTTGAAGAAGTTTCCCATTGCACAGATCTTCTGGTACACTAGGCTAGCTTGTTGGTTATGGTGTTCCATGTCAGCGAGAGAGAGAGAGAGAGAAAGATCCTAAATCCTAAGTTCAGGGCAACACGTATCCAAATGCTGTGCTCCGTCCTCAGTCTGTCACCCTGCCAATTCTGCTCAGAAACGAGTTCATTCACAAAGCAAGTGTAAATGGGGGATACTGTGATTGCGTCATGCATTACAGAGCCCACTGGTTATAAGAGCATCCTCGAGGAGAGCAGAGAAATATGGCAGCATCCATCTTGGCCGGAGTGGAGATGGGGCAGAAACAGAGGTGGGGTGTGGGGGCTGCCAAGGACATTTAAGAGAGCTGTCAGCAGCCTTATGTATGAATGAGCCTGCTGGAAAAGCCTATAGCCTCAGTGTGTGTGTGCGTGTGTGTGTGTGTGTGTGTGCGTGTATATATGAGAGTATGTGTGTGTTTATGTGTGTAGAGGCCAGGAGTCACTGTGGTGCATGCTGGGACAGATGTGAGGGGGCACAAGAACAGAACAGGGCAGCAGTCCCTCCAATAAAATGTGATTGATTGTCTTACATACAGTACAGACTATACTGTACTCCTTTGCAAAAAATAAAGTTAATGCAATGTGAAACATTTATTTTATTCTATATAGTGTATGAAATACTTTTTTCTCACTCCTTGCTTGATTATCAATCAAACAGTACATTTAAAAGTAATACAATCTCCTCCCTAATCATTTAACATAATGTTATTTTCCAAACACAATAAACTCACAACACAAGACCAAAAATGGTCACAGAGGGCTGAAGGTTGATGGTTCACTTCTACAACTGAACTGTGTGTTCCAAACCGTGGGACCTGCCTAATCAGGTGCTCCAGCTTCAATATTTGTACATATATTTCATGATACTTAAATCTAGACTCAAAGGAAGTTGTTTCAAACAAAAAATCCTGTGTAATTAGTTACTTTAATTTGTACCAATCTTTTCACTGTAGATTGGTACAAATAAAAAGTGGTTGTCAGCAGATTGTGAGAGTCCAGAGCAGTCCATTAGCTGCTGCTGCACTGGCTGCTCTCTGTAGGCAGCTCCAGGCCTGTTGGCAGTGGCAGAGCACCTCCTGTGTCCCGGCCAGAGGGCCACAGCTCTGGGGCCATTACTAAAACATAATGACACCACAAGTGCTCTCCTATCCCGCACATGGAGCAGATTCATCACAGTGTAGCACCATAGCACATCTCTCAACAGCCCTTAAAGAGGTAACGACATTTCTTCATGGTGAGCTAAACCCACCCCTCCTTTTAGCTCTAGACATTCCTCATCTTCACATAGAGAACTTCTATTTTAAGATCATTACCTTTAAAGAAATGATGGAGGTTTTAACCTTGGATTAAGTGGGGTGAGCAGAGGTGGCTCGTAGGAGCTCCTTCAGACACAAAACTGCAGAAGGTCAGAATTAATGCAGGTGTATCCTGAGAAAAGAAAACATTTTTGTCAGTGTCAAAGTCACATTATGTCACTGGCTGAAGGTGAGGGATGGTTTACACTTTTTAGTGCAGGCATAAATAAAAACTGTGCACTGCATGCTCCTTGACACTGTAGATCACACAGTAAGTAGGTGCGGAGCCTTTATCTAGCTTCTGAATCCAGGGCTATTCATTGCTTCAAGCGGTGGATCAACCATGGCATAAGGAAAAGCGTGCAAGTAAAAGTAATTGTCTTCAACTGGTGTTGCAGCAGGAGCCACAGTGAAGTCAGCCTCTGGGGCAGGTTATGTTGCTACCCCTCTTATTTGCCTTGTTTGATTCACCGCTGCAGCCCGGGGATTTACAACGCTCCATCACAGACAATAAGAATAAAGACAGAAGTGTGCTGGTTTATGACTTCAGCACTTTCCGTTTGAAGTCTTCCAGCACCAGTGAGTTTAAATTATGGTGGGAGACGTCCTTGGGATGTGAACATCTCATTTCAGTGAGCTGCGCACACACACAACCACAAACACACACAACTCATTTCAGTGGGGTCTCAGGGAGGCTGGACCCAGCAGAGCATGACATAGGAATTATACATCTGCAGCCGTAAACCTGCCGCACCTGCACACCACACTGCTGCACAACACCAACTTTTGTCTCATCATCAGAATTATTTATTATTTCTGAATATTATCACTGTTGCATGAATCTGAGTGAGGGAGTAGCAGGATGCTCTTAAAGCCTCTGTTCATTTCTGGAGACAGCTGAGCTCAGCGCTCTGGTCCCTCCTGATAATTTGACAAACGACTATTAAAACGTCGTTGGATTAATTTGAGGATATTCAAAAGCAATTTTCACTTTTGTGATGAATGATGACCAGCAGACACGTGTGTGCTTGTGTGCTTGGTGTAAACTAACCTAGTTAACAGTAAGCATATGCGAGCCTTTTCTAAAGATATGATGAAGGCTATTGAAGGACAATTCACTTTTTCACCTTTATCTGAAGCTACACTACATGGCCTGATGCAACTTGTTATGTGTACAACTCCATATTTGGTCATGGTTTGCGACAGTCTAACGTTTCAAAATGTGCGCTGGGAGCTTACGTTGGCGCAGTAGTTGCTGGACACTGAAGTTCGGTGAGGGGTGAGTGTCTCTGTCCTGTCCAGTCCATGCTCCAGTCTTCTGTGGATGTGCGGGTCCCAGAGGAGCGTCCCACTGTGAGCATCACCTGCGCTCCCGCCCACTCTCTGCTCTCCTGCTCTGCCATTGGTCAGCTTCTTAAATATGCAAGAAGCACTCCTTTCATTGGCTCCAACCAGACATCGTCAATTCATAAAGCAAATCTTTTCTAACTTGTGTAAAGGGAATAAGTGGAAGAAAAAAACCCTAGAGAAAACGGCGTTGCGGACAGCCAGCGTGTATTCTCGGTGGCTCTGAGTGTCCGCCTGCTTTATTTGTGTGAGGACTGGACTGGAGCGTCTCTCATCCTGTGAGTACCTGACTTTATGAACCGCTTCAGCCGCTTCTCTCTCTGCTCTGCCCGGGGAAGGAGCGCTCCTCTGGGAATGACTCGCTCCAACAGCGGATAGAAAGTTCATCTCAGTATAAGCAGGGAAACTTAGAGTATGTACTGCACAACATAAGAAGTGGCTATTTAACTGTACTGATGAGATGTTTATAATATGTTTGTTTATTGTCAAATTGCTTTTCATTAATTGCCTGCAAATAGGAAAAATCTATGTTTAATTCCCGAAGTGGCTGTTATATAATGAATCTAACCATTGCATTGATGATTTGTTGGTATCCTGTGTTATATGTTAGTTAAATGACGTATAAAAGCATACATGATGGAATATAATGTGTACAAGTTATGAAGGTGAAGTTATTAGTGTTGAGGAGAGTTGTGTGTGTGTTCCATGGGAGAAGAAGGATGCTCCTCTGAGGAATTGTGCAGCTTTGAGTTTGCTCATCATAAAGTTGATAAGTGGCATAAAAGGCAGCTTTTTGTAAGTTGTGAGTGTGTTGTTTGTAAAAGTTAAGTTAAAGTCCCTGGGGCCAGTCTGCAGTGAATGTGTCCTTCGCACAAGTCATCCTCCCAGAAGCTTGTGTGGAGACTGAAGCTGTGGTTTGGTCTTTGTCGCAGTGTTATCAGAGTTGGGCTTGAATGCTTCAGAAAGCACATGCTGATGTTGCACGCTGTGGTAATGGCCTCTTAATGCCAACATAAATAACCAAATTGAAAACATTTGATGCCTTCAACACAATTTTAAGCTGTTTTATGGCTTCTGAGGCGTTTGTGGAAATGATTGAATGTGATTTTATTCAGAAATTGGGGGTTCACCCTTACAATAAGTGTCCTTTTGTTTTCAGGTACATTTACTAACATCATTTTGCAATTTCACTTCAAGTTTAAGTATAGGTTTTTATTGCAGCGAATAGGGAGAAGTAGGCTCTTCTGTTGATAAATATAGTACCAGTGCTGATCATCATGTCCATGACTAATGTGATTCTCACTCACTGATGTTTTGTAGGAAACTCTTGACTTGTTCAGTTCTCAGGCTGAAGTATATCTGGATTTTCCCAGTGTCCTGCCGCAGCGCCATGGGAATAACTATATCATATTTGGTCCCAGTCTCCTCTGGAAACTCTCTGGTCTGTTCTTTGTAATTCTTCTTGTCTATTCCCACCCCACAAGATTGCCTCAAGTCTGTGCAACATTGTCTTGTGAATGGTGTACAGCTCATTTGTAATGCAGAAATGTGTTTACTAAATCTTCAGAGCTGTTAATTAACCCGAGCCTGGTCTGTAGCATCTCTCCAGCCTGCAGCCCTATCACCAGGCACCTGCCAAATCTCGCACTCGCCAGGCCATATTTCTGTAGTGTCAGTAGAGGTGGCTCTCCTCTGCAGATGAGCGTTACCCAGTATTACTCAAACGCCAGTGCGCGGCTTTTATCTCAAATTGAATTGTTGAGGGAGATGTTAAAGAACCATACATCACTCGGACACTTGGCGAGAGAAAGTCCCAGCTTGAAGTTAAAAGCGAGGAAACCGTCAATGCCATTAAGTACCATGACGACCGAGGTTGTGTCTGTAAAATTCCCAGCCAAGAAATCAAAGTGTCGGCTTGTAAACATTGCGTGATGTGTTGTGGCCGTCGAAAGGACAGCACAATTTGAGTTTTATTTTAGCCCTGAAACAGTGACCTTGTGTCTTCCCTTTTTTCTTGGTGTTTTTCTGCTTCCCACAGAGCACCCCTGTTTACACAATACAAAGCACCAACATCAATTGCTCTGTGTTCACACTTTCTATCTCCCAAGCAATAAAAGGCCACTTATACATCACATAGAGCTTTTATCCTCAAAAAAAAAACAAAAAAAAAAGTGTTCCCAATTTAAAGTTTCTCCCAGAAGAAGGAGCGCTCTGGGTCACTTATATTGGGTCATATCGCTTTTCCCTGTGCCTGCTGGATAATGCCCTGCTCCCTGTATGGATTTCCTGTCGTGTAATTCCTCAGGCTGTCTGCATGTGATGGGTTGTTCAGATCCAACCCTGCAGAAAGGTGCTGATCACGGTGCTATATCTTCATGTTTATGTCCACAGCCCTGCACTGAACTCTGCCAATGAGCTGCTGATGTCCGCCTCACAATGGATCGGAAGAATTAGCAACAGCGGCGCGCGTGTTGCCGCTTAAAAATATATGACTTACCGGCCGTATTTGATTCCCATTTGGCTCAAGTGCCAGGACGAATGGCTTGTGTATATCAAATGGGAGCTGAGGGAGTGGGGGCAGAGGGCAAGCAAAGCAGATCAGAGAGAGTACAGCGTGTCAGCATGCATCGCAAATCTAATAAATGTCCATGTTTTTGTTTGTTTATGTTCTGTCCTCCAAAAGGTCAGTATGTGGTTGTGGCTGCTCCTCTTTGTGCCTGAGATGTGTGCACAGAGATCGGAGCCTATGTTCACAGCCATAACCAGAAGCATCCTACCTCCGGACTATGACAACAATCCATCCCAGCTGAACTATGGTGTTGCAGTGACCGACGTGGACGGGGATGGGGATCTGGAGGTGTTTGTGGCAGGGTGAGGCCGGAATTCACTTGTTGCTGTTGTGGCAGTTGTAAAAGATTAGTTTTGATTTCAATTGATACAAATAAAAACAATGGAGAAGATACAAAATGATCAGAAATAAAGTGGTTGAAAAGGGCTTGAACAAAGCAAATACACTCACATGCACGCACACACACACACACAAACAGACAGACAGACAGACAGACAGGTAGACAGAGCCACACGAACGCGACACAGGCCCAAACTCTCTCTAACCATGCACGCCTCTCCCACCTCTGTCTCTGTGCTGAATGCATCATGATACTACTTCTTCACCTCTTTTTTGAAAACCGTTTTAAATTGAAACATAAATAATCTATCTAGTTGTTCCACACAGTAACTCTACACCAGGGGTCTCCAACCTGTGGCTCGGGAGCTACCAGTAGGTTGCCAGCCCCTTTCAGGTAGCTCCCCAAAGGATTAAGAATCTCACACATGATCTTGAATGATTCACTTTTGAGTTATTACATATCTATTATAAGTTTAAATCTAGCGTTATACAGTGTTATGGTGTTCTCCATGTTTTGTCGTAAATATTAGATTGATTTTTACGACTGCAAAAAAGGAGTAGCTCTCGGCCTCTTCTGTTGTATAAAAGTAGCTCTCCTATTGAATAAGGTTGGAGACTCCTGCTCTATATCATTTGTTAAAAATCCCATGTTGCCTGTTACACATTGAGTGGAGTCTGTGTTATGAGATCTTTGGTACAATTGGAGAAAGCGATGATTGCTCACAGATAAAATGACTGCCAAAGGTTAAAACAAAGGCAAAAAAGAGATGGCAACTTCCAAGTGGCTCACGGTTCACTCAGCTGATGAAAATAGATTTGATTGGATGAAGGCCACTGATGGGAACAGTTTGGCAAGCCGTGCGTTTACCCAGTCAAGCAGAAATGAGTTCCTCAACGCTCAACGGAATATAGATTGTTTAAAATGGCCCTGGCTAATAAATGTCATTTAGCCAAGACATCCAATTCTGCAGGTATCCTGGGTGTGGGAGACGCACTAAGCCGGTGAGTCGGATTTAATGCCAGCTCCAACTATTTTAAGGGAGAATTCTTTTAGAGTGCAATGCTCGACTTCATTGACCTTCAGTAATGATATGTTTTTAAAAACGTATACAACTAAAAAAGCACTCGCAGAGCACCGACTTCCGCCTTCCATTCCTTAAAAATAATGAATTGGATTGCCTCCAAAATTGAATCCCTGGGTCATCACACACTTTTTCTGAAAAGTTGTTCTGGATCCTCCCTTGACCTTTGAGTTATGTTGCTCACAAACAAACAAACAAACAAACAAACAAACACAAACTTTACCTCCCAGGTGGACATAACACATGCAGAACTTTAGTTTCATTCATATTGTAGATGCCATGTGATCTCATCGTTGGATATTCATTTCATAATATGGCTTAATCCTATAGATCATTTTGGATGGATTATAATAAACCAATTATAGCAAGAGCTAATCAAATATGAGGAAAAAAACATGGAGATTACCATGGAATGACGAATTGGTATTCTATAACTTGCTTAGGGATTAGAGAAGGAAAGCTGCTGTCCTGAGGTTCAGCATCATAAATGTTTTCATCCTTAATAATAATCATAATTCTCATTATTGCATACACTGTACCTCTCCAAATACACATGATAAATAATGCATATTAGGACTGCACAGTTTGAAATTTGTAATTGCAATATTTCTGACCCAAATTTTACTGCAATGTGATGTTCAATAAAACACAAACTTCAAGAGAGTACAATTCCCCACACCTTTCAGAGTTCAGACTTGTCGTACTGCCATGTTTTTTCTCGTAGAAATAAAACATTGACTGCAAAAATGTGAAATATAAAAGAACGCTTGAATGAAATAGTTTCACCCAAAAACATTTTCTTGATTTCTAAGTCACACAACACATTCTGACAGTTTCGGCGGATGACCAAGATGACATACATGACTTATGCTTATTCTTTTCACAAATCTGGTCAATGGAGTCTTCCCTTACTCTCAACATTATTTTAGCTTATCTTTTGTCCCTTTTTCTTTGTTAATAACTTGAGTAATTACAGTCTGCCCTGTGATTTTCTTTGTGGCGACCATGACAATTGTTATTTAAATTTGATTGCAATAATTGTGGTTAAATTTAGAACACTGAAATGGTTTCTTAAATGTTTAACCGATCATGCGCCACTGCTGTTTTCTGGTCTGGCTCTCAGACCTCAAGGCTCTCGCGGACCTCACACCAGAGCCTCAGTCAGTGAGCACTGTGTTGTTCCTATAAGTTCAGAACATCTTTTGAACAGTCCACCTTTTACTCTGATGGAGTCTGTGGAACGCTCTTCCCACTGGCCTAAGACTACATTTAGTCTGTCCAATGCAACTGTTGAGTCCATTACAAAGACGTAAAAAAAAAAAAAACAATGGTTAAATGGTCTTCCTGAAAATGTGTGAGCCCCCAATCAACACCATCCATTCACTCTCATTAAATTCATACCTATTGTGCATGATTTTAGTGGTAGGGGAAACCAGAGCACCACGCAGAGATGGTTAAAAACAGATTTCAAATGTATTTTCTCTCTTGTTCTGTGATTATTTTTGATTTTTGACGCCTTGTGTGATTGCTTCTGCAGTATCTTGTTTTGTTCAGCACTTTGAGTTGCCTTGTGTAGGAATTGTGCTATACAAATCAACTTGCCTTGCTTATTTGCCTCCGGTTTCCACAGCTACAATGGCCCAAACCTGGTCCTGAAGTACGACCACCTGAAGAGGAGGCTGGTCAACATCGCCGTGGACAACTGCAGCTCCCCCTTCTACGCCCTGAGAGATCGCCCGGGCAACGCCATCGGGGTGACAGCGTGTGACATCGACGGCGACGGCAGAGAGGAGATTTACGTCCTCAACACCAACAACGCCTTCGCAGGTACAGTGTGGATCATTATGCACATATGGAGCTTATCTCGTCTGTAGATAACTGATAAGCCACCAGAGACTATTTATCAACGTGAAAGCCAGAGAGTTGCTTCTTTCTCACCTTTATCATTCTTCACAACCCTTTACGCTCCCAATTTCTCACTATCAGCCGCCTTTTCTCCTCTCTTGGCATAATATTCTGTCTTCTTCTTGTGTCCTTTTACAATCTTTCGCCTTGTCTGAACTCTGCATCCGTCCACACGAAGGTCGGACAACGTACTCAGACAAGCTCTTTAAGTTTCGGAACGGTCGCTTTGAGGATCTCCTGAACGATGATATAAACTTGCACAGGGACGTAGCCAACCGTATGGCCGGGCGTTCAGTGGCCTGTGTGGACAGAAAGGTACACGCCTCGCACTAACACAATGAGGATGTAGATTCAATGCAAACGGACTCAGCTCCCCGGAGTGTCTTGTGTGCACATGCATGGCTGCTTCTGTTTGTTTACTAGTGATAACTCATGCTCTGCCTACGCCGCCCCTCTCAGCATGTGCTATGACAGTTCATTTGGTGGAATGCTGTGCCATTTTCTCTTTTCTGTCCATCGCACCAGTGTAATTACAGAAGCCAGGCCTCGTTTGTTTTATGGAACATTGTACAAGGAGGAGTGATGACTGCAAACCGCTGCGTTATGCCTCCACCATTTTCTCCGATTCACTTTTTCCTCAGTTGGTCTTGTTCTCTATCGCTTGCCTTCCTGTGCACCTTCTGGATTTTGTTTTTCACAGACACCCACCCACCCACCCACACACACACACACACACACATGCACTTTCCAATAGAATTTTAACCACAGTGCCATCTCGGCGAGCACTGATAGGCTATTGGAGCGATGGGAAAGATATCTAGTTTTAACGCCATAATGCGTTTAGAAGAAGCCGGAGCCACAATGTGTATTCTTTCACTGAGCATGTCTCCCTCAAGCTAAACAAGACATTTATTACACACTTTAAAATTCACTGTGCGGTGGACTGTTCAAATCTGCTCCGGTTTTTGTTGTTGCGTTTATGCAAAGGGTTAGTGGTTAGGGTCTGTGATCTGCTGTGTGGAAGCCGGTCAACTGGGATAGTCTCCTGGTCTCCTTGAAAGTGAGCACCTATCATTATTCTTACACAAACTGATGATCGTGACATATGGAGAGGTCACACATTTAACCGATGGATTGTGCTCTTGAGTAAAAGTCCGTAAGAAAAAGCCACAGTTGCGATATACAGTATGCAGGAGTATTTTAATTGAAAAAAACGTGAGTCCCTTCGCCATAGCATCCCCCCACTGTGCCGTGCAGGTCAACCAGTCACTATGTCAACTAGTCTGACATAATCTAGCCTTGGGGGAAGACTTATTGAAAAATCATTGACTTTTAGGTTTGTTAAGTAACTGCCAGTGGCCTTGAAGTCTTTATTGTACTTTTGTTCTTTCATTCAGCCAACCTCAGGGAGCGTGTGTGTGGAGGTGTGACAAGACCGGCGAAGTGACATTTAGACTGCGTTCATTCCGCTCCTCTGCCCCTTTAAAGTATTCTAAGGTTAACACAAATGTGATGGCCTGTGTTTGCATATGTGCATGTTTGTATTGATTGAATAATGTTGGGTCCTCGGTAGGAAAGCTCATTGAAAACGAGTATGTAGTCTATTAGTGCGGTTCCGTCTGTGAGTTTGTGTCTGCAGGGACTCGGACTGATAATGGAGTGTGAAATTAATCTCCAAAGGGAGGCAGGCTGAGGAGGAGCGAGAGAGGGGCGGAGTGAAAGGGGTAAGAGTGTAAGGACTGATCAAGGCAATGGAAAGACGCTTGGAAAGGTGTTGTTTGTTATAGATTGAAGGAGATTGGAAGTCCAGTTGCAATAACATTGTCTGTTAAGATGAACATTGAACAAATGCATCAAACTACTGTAGTGCTCGCTTTCAAAACAGTTCGGTTCAATCGCTGGAAAAGTGGAAAAGAGAGGACCATCTTCACTTCAGCCTAAAGTAGAGGTGTCAAACTTATTTTGGTTGAGGGCTGAATAATAAAAGAAAGGGCTGGTCAGGGGCCGAAAGAATAAGTGAGTTTCGTTTATTATGCGTTTTTATAATATGAAGGTATCTATATAAATGACTTGTTTCACATTAGTTGGATATTCTTTTCTGATTGACTTAGTTCAGTTACTGTGGACTGAACCAAAACTGGACCAAATATTGATGGTTTATAGGAAGATTTTCTACTTCCGGGTGGATCATAAAGACTATTGGTCCTCCCAACTGTCAATCATTCTGGTGATTTGTGCTCGTCAAATAAGACCAGAGAGTTTTGTTCAAAAAGTGGAGAGGGCGGTTCTTTCCGAGAAAATGGGGAAATCCTCCTTCATATCTTTAAGAAGAAATGTAATTAAAGACTGGAAAAAAAAGAAAAAAAATTTCTAATTACATGTTGGCTTAACATTTCTTATGGAATAAAATGTTAAGGTTGTTTTCTTGAGAAAATTAGTAATAACATGTCATTGTGCCCTAATACCATTAATTCTGCTATTTAATATAATAATTTAAAATAATCTCAGGAGCCACTGGAAATAGTCTCGCAGGCCGGATCTGGCCCTCGGGCCTTGACTTTGACACCTATGGCCTAAAGCATCCAATAGTGACTCACAGAGCTCTTTCTTATGCAAAAGAGAACATGTTTTGTAATAAGCTGAAGACAGCATGTCGTGGTCTGGTCCTCACAACCACCCCCCTCCTCCTCCTCCTCACCACCCCCCCCCCCTCCTCCTCCTCCTTACCAGCACCGGGTGAGTACTGTGGTGCAAACACTGACCCCTGTCCGTCTGGCAGTGTAACGACAGTCCTGCCACTGAACTGTGCTGACTCAGTTATGCATCTGGAACTTAACAAAGTACAACAGAGTTCACTTTTTAAACCAATAGAGACTGTGTGTGTTCCTCGCACCAGCTCAGAAATGTGTTTTAACTTGAATAAACACAAATTTAAAAGAAGGACAGCAGTTAGACGGTCCAACTCTGGAAATCTAATTCCAGTTCTTTGTAATCAATCAACTAAACCCACTGACACTGATATTAATTTTAACCTTGCTCTACTTAATGTCAGATCACTATGCAACAAATAATTTTTAATTAATAATTTTATCTGTTCGTATGATCTTGATTTTATGTTTATGACTGAAACATGGCTTGACCATAATACAGGAGATGCAGTTTTAATAGAAGCCTCACCACCAAATTTCAAATTTGAATATGAAACACGAGAAAATAAAAGGGGGGGGGGGCATAGCAGCAGTTTTTAAAGATCGTATTGTCTCCCATAGAGTGTCTCTTGGGAAATTTTCATCATTTGAGTATGTTTTTTTTAAAATAGAACAAAAGAAATCTTCTTCCATTCTTATTATTGTTGTGTACAAGCCGCCACAGTCATGCCATAGTTTCACTGATCATTTCACTGAGTTGCTTTCAGTTGTGTGCACAGATTTTGATGGTTTAGTCATTATAGGTGATTTCAATATACATGTAGATAATGCTAATGATAGATATGCAATAGAGCTGAGCTCTGTGCTGGAAACCTTTGGTCTCACTCAGCATGTGAGTGGCCCCACCCACAGCAGAGGACACACTCTCGATCTGTTAATTACCAAGGGGGTTAATATTTCAAATGTAAATGTGGTCAATGTTGCTCTGTCTGATCATTTCTGTGTATTTTTTGACATGTGTCTCGATTGTAAACCACCAGCTGAATCTTCGGTTGTTAGAAGAAGACACATAAATGATAATACAGGCGAACTGTTCATGGGGAGGGTAAACTTTGAGAACACGTTGTGTGTTACTGTAGATGAATTACTTGACTCTGTCACCACCACTGTTTTGAATGTTCTGGATACAATTGCTCCTGTAAAGGTTAAAATAGTTACAAACAAGCAAAAAGCGCCATGGACTAAAGCAGACTCGGTCAGGGCACAGAAGAGAGAGTGCCGGAAGGCCGAGCGGAAGTGGCGAAAGTCAAATCTCAAAGTTGACCATGAGATCTTCAAAGATGCGTTGTGCAATTTTAACAGGGAACTACGTAGAACGAGGGAAATGTACTTTTCTGAAACTATTGAAGGCTGTAGCAACAATCTACGTGTTCTGTTTTCAACAGTAAATAGATTGACGAATCCCCCTGTTAAGATGCCATCAGAACTTACTTCCAAATCTAAATGTAATGAGTTTGCTCAGTTCTTTAATGACAAAGTCCAAGGTATCAAAAACGCCATCACCTCCACGATAGAAATAATAATCCAACCGCCAGTGAGGCTTTTTGGGCTGACGCACTTTACACCAGTACAAATTGAAACTGTCCAGGAGATAATCACTAGTCTGAGTTCCTCCACATGCAGCCTGGATGTATTACCTCCTAGATTTCTCAAGTCAGTTCTGAGCAGTCTTTTACCTTCACTTACACAAATAGTTAATATGTCTCTTGAATCTGGAACATTCCCAATGGCCTTGAAAACGGCGGTCATCAGGCCCCTCCTAAAAAAGAGGAGTCTGGAAGCCCTGGCACTCAAAAATTATCGGCCCATTTCAAATCTGCCTTTCATGGGAAAAATTCTAGAAAAAGTTGCCTATCAACAACTTACAGAATTTTTAATAATCAATAACGCTTATGATATGTTCCAGTCAGGGTTTAGACCCCACCACAGCACTGAGACCGCGCTAATAAAGGTAACAAATGACATCAAACTAAACACTGACGCAGGAAAAGTCTCAGTCCTTTTTCTGTTAGATTTAAGTGCTGCTTTTGACACTATTGATCATGGCATCCTCATTCAGAGACTAGAGGACTGGGTTGGTGTTGCTGGCACCGCCCTAAGCTGGTTTAGGTCCTATTTACAAGACAGAAAGTTTTTTGTGGAGATCGAAAACTGTACCTCAGACCACTTGGCCCTGACCTGCGGAGTGCCACAGGGGTCAATCCTGGGTCCTCTTCTGTTTAATATTTACATGTTGCCTCTAGGTCAGTTGATTCACAGTAATAATGTCTCTTATCACAATTACGCTGACGATACTCAGGTCTATGTGTCCCTGACAGCAGGAGAGCATGAACCAGTGGACTCGCTCCTTCACTGTGTCCAGCAAATCGGTGATTGGATGCAAAATAACTTTCTCCAACTAAACACCGACAAAACTGAAATAATTGTTTTCGGACCCCAGAAACAAAGAGAGAGCGTTATTTGTCACCTCCAGGCTCTCTCTCTACAACCCTCAAATCAGGTCAGAAATCTAGGAGTGATAATGGACTCAGACTTAAATTTCAAAAGCCACATAAAATCTGTAACATCAGCAGCTTATTACCACCTAAAAAACATTGCTAAAATTAAAAACATAGTGTCTAAGGCAGACTTGGAGACTCTTATACACGCTTTTGTCTCCAGTCGGTTAGACTATTGCAATGGCTTGTTCACAGGTCTCTCCAAACAGGCTGTAAAACAGCTGCAGTACATTCAACATGCAGCAGCTCGAGTCCTGACCAGAACTAGGAAGTGCGACCACATTAGTCCAGTCCTCAGGTCTCTGCACTGGCTTCCTGTTCCTCAGAGAATAGACTTCAAAGCAGCTTTACTTGTGTACAAGTCTCTCCATGGTCTCGCGCCAAGGTACATCCACGACATGTTTGTGCCATATGAACCGACCCGGACTCTGAGGAGCACAGGGACTGGACTCCTGTTAGTGCCCAGAGTCGGTACTAGACATGGGCAAACTGCATTTCAGATTCATGCGGCTAGAGTCTGGAACCGTCTTCCTGAGAATGTGAGACAGGCGTCTACTCTGGCAGTTTTCAAATCTAGGCTGAAAACAGTTCTGCTTAGCTGTGCATACAACTGAAGGATTTTATCTTTGTTTTTATCTTTAATCTTTTTAATGCACTGTGACTATTTATGATTTTAGTCCCATCTGTGATTTTAATGTTTAAAGGTTTTTAATTTTTGTGATTTTATTTTTAATGTTTTTAATATATCTTGTGCTCTTAATGTGTTTGATTTATGCATGATGTGATAGGGGATGTGAAGCGCTTTGCGTTGCCTTGTGTAGGAAAGGCGCTATACAAATAAACGTTGATTGATTGATTGATTGATTTTACATTTAGATAACTTTGGTGCCCCAGATGATTGGAAAATGTTTTTTGCCACTAGTGAGTGAAAGTTTTGAGAAATGTTTGAGAGTTTTTGGGTTTTTTTTGTAAAAGTTTGTGGTCTGTAGTTCAAATCTTGGAGAAATGTTGTTTTAAATGGCTAAACGTCTATTGTTGATATTCATTTTTAAAGCAATTTGAGCCAAAAATCACAGGTCAGTAAATACGAGGATGTGATCATTTGTTTTTGTTTGAAATTGTCAGATTGCACAGCTTTTGTTTAAGTCAGTCAGTAATCTCAACATTACAAATAAAAATTAAACACACAAACACAATGACTAGTTTTTTGTTGTTGTTTTAATCCCTCCAATAAAATGTGCATGTTTGTTCTGTTGTTGTAGGGCAGTGGTCGTTATGCCATCTATATAGCGAACTACGCCAGTGGGAACGTGGGTCCTCACGCCCTCATAGAAATGGATGAATTTGCGAGTGATTTGTCTCAAGGCGTCATAGCCCTCACCAACGTGGCGGAGCAGGCAGGAGTCAACAAGCTGACAGGTACTTATTCTCAGTCAGACTAAAGCAGTACTGTGGGGCATGACTGTGCCTTGCTATGTGGCGTTTATAGCTCTCTCCGTATCTCTGGGTGATTTCCTCCAGGCTCCAGCTTCTGCCATTACACAAAACATATATGAAAATAAATCCTGTTTTCATCCTGATCTGATGTTATTATTTTCATTATTACTATTATTATAATTTTTTTTATTAGAATCTGGCCTTACCTTCACCTGTGTAGGGAGAAATATGAAGCTTTTAAGATTACTGATGATGAGTCATAAAAAGTATAATAGTAAGAAAGTGGTTGAAAGAAGTGTTGGCAGGTTCTGCCCTGTCAGCTGTTTACTGCAGTCAAAGTCACAGGTGAGTGAAGGGAAAGGGCGGCTCTTACATAGATCAGCTGAACAGCCCAGAGGGGGCATCTATCACACAGTCTCCCTCCCATAAGCTTTAATGTATGGAGATAAGTATGGCACAGCTTGGCATTCATATATTACATTTGGAGCAATAAAATTGAAAGAAAGAAAGACTTTCACCTGCACTCATTAACACAGTGATGAAGGTTTTCTGAAATTAAATACATTGTATTATTTAATGTAATGTATACATATACTGTATACATTGTATATGTATACAGTGGGGATTCCAGGTTTTGACAGATAGAGGTACCGGGAGCTTCAAGGATTACCATTTTATTGTGTGTGCAATAAAATGACTCAAAATTGAGCTAATGATTGAACTGCATGGATGTACCACCGAATGGAGCTCACCAGTGGTACATGTACCAAAGTTAGATAAACAATTCATCAGTACATTATTACTGTATGTATTTTAAACTGTAAATGCGTGCACCATTTTTGTGTTAAACCATCTATTTCCACAATTTGTTGGTGAAATGTTTAAATATGCTTCAAAAATATGTGTTTATTCAATCAACACTGACCCTCCTTCACACCAAAGGTTCTTTGGATAAAAGTATGGGGAACAAATGACAAGCAGATTTTCAAAATGTGATTTGTTGCTTCAACATCATTGTCATAATCTCCGGTATGACACTTTAAGTGTTTGACCTTGATTTCTATTGAAACTTGAGGCAGTAACAGCGCTGAATGTGTAATATTATCATCTGAATGAAGACACCAGGGACAGAGCAGTCCAGCAGAGCTCTCTCAGATTTATGGAGCTTTGTCATCAAACTGCTGTTAATCAGAGCGAGAGGACAGCGTGAGGACTGTGTGGAGATGATGCGGCTGCAGCGAACAGCGCAGTCTCTCTCCACACTCTGAGGTTAGTCCAGGCGCTGGGACAGGCCTGTACATCAGGGCTCTCATAGAAGGACAATCAAGGCCCTCTGCTATATAATCAGTCCAGAGACACTTCAGTGCTACACTTCACATCGCACAATGTCGTCCGGGTTTTACTGATCAGAACAAGTGCATCTTACATGCTTTAGACGACATTACGTAGGTCAAAGGAAAACATGTTATTTCCCATGTTTTGTAAGTGTGTGTTTGTGTGTGTGCTCTCATCAGTCTGTGTCTGTGTCAGCACAAAGCCTCTGGCCTGGCTCACAGCAAATGGCTCGGAAAGGCAGTAATGATCTTTTTCTGTGCTGTTTTTCACACACTGTTTTCTCCATCTTGAGATTTTCTGCTCAATGTGTGGACGCTGCTTCATTTGTATGGCCTCTGTATGTGCTTGTACAGGGGGGCGAGGCGTAGTGGTGGGGCCAATTGTGAGTCAGTCCTTGTCAGACGTGTTCTGTGACAATGAGTACGGCCCGAACTTCCTCTTCAGAAACAACGGCGATGGCACTTTCACTGATGTGGCGCAGCAGGCTGGTGAGGGGAAAACCTGAGCCCACTAATGAAAATCTTACCTGGATAAAGCAAATGTATAACAATCTGCTCTCCGAAGGGGTGGAAGACCCAATCCAGCACGGCAGAGGCGTAGCACTCGCAGACTTCAATCGAGATGGAAAGACAGACATAGTCTATGGAAACTGGAACGGCCCTCATCGCTTATACATGCAGCTGAACAATCGCAAACAGAAGTTTAAGGTCAGAACACACATGGTTTGTATATATCCTGTGGCAGAGGTGAACAAAATACTACTCCCTCAGTACTTTAGGAAAAACAGTAAAAGTAAAAAAGTAGATGCTTGAAAAAATTTGTTGGGTTAACATTAAATTCATTATCAGTCTCATTATTAAGCAAGTTGCAATATTGCTGTCTCTTCTGCGTCATCCAAGGGAGTTTTATAATACATTTACCAAAAAATTTCTGGAATTCACCATTCAAAGCCGTTTATGGGAGTGGTCCTGGGTTATGATCTATCACATTCTTTAAAACTCTAATCAATTGTGTGTCCCGATAGTTTGAAAACCCAGACTTTGTGGCTAGTTATATGGGTTCTGTTGATGAGACAGAACCCTTATATATATATTTGTGGTGCGTAATTCAGTGTTTTATTCACAGCAATGCTATGTGTGTTCATAATTCCATTGTAATACACTATGATTGGATGAAGAAGGAAATCAAGGATATATTGTTTGTTTAAGGTGCTAATTATTGAGTATTTAGGCTGATTTGTTATAGTTGAAAGAATCAGTTCAGGAAATGCGTAAAGGTAAATCTTCAGGTGCTGATGGGATTCCACCGCTATTCAGCCTTCTGGGATCCCCTTGGCTGTTGATTCAATCAATCAATCAATCAATCAATCAAATTTTATTTATAAAGCGCTTTTCATACATAAGATGCAACACAAAGTGCTTTACAGTTTGGTTAAAAACAATCCCGCCGACCCAAGACCCCTCCCCCAGACCACCCAACAGACCCACCCCAAACCACAGACAAACACACACACACGCGCTCGAACACATGAACACACACACACACACACACACACACACACACACCAGTAAAACAATAAAAACATGATGAGAGACTTGGCAGGGTTCAGATGCAACCAGCTGAAAAAGCGTCATCCAAGGAGCCGTCTGCACCAGGAGCAGAGAGCCGCCCGTAGCCACAGGGGACGACACAGGCCCAGAGGAGACATGAAACCGAGGCCCCAGGCCCCCACCAGGCCCAAGAGTCCGACCCCCGCAGCCACACCGACCACTGCTCCCGGTGCAGAGGGCTCCTCCAGAGGAAACACTGGGTACACTAAAAACAATACAATAAGTAAAACACTAAAATGTGAGACTAAAAGGAACACACAATACATGAATAATAGCAATAGCAATATAATAAATAATAAATAATAAAAAATAAATAGAATGGAATAATAAAAACTAATCAAAAGCTACTCTAAAAAGGTGCGTCTTGAGCCTACTTTCAAAAATATGAACGTTCTCTGCGGCCCTGAGCTCCTCCGGCAGACTGTTCCAGAGACGGGGGCCGTAGTGCTGGAAAGATGCCTCACCGTGAGTGTGTGTCCTGACTTTGGGGATGGTTAGGAGTCTGATGCAGCCAGCGTAAGTTCAATTTGGTAGACGTCAGCCAAAGGTAACCCCTCCAGGCCGGTTCTCATCCCCAGCCTATCGCACGGCAAACGCCCCCTTCCAATCACCGGTCCAGCCAGGCAAGCTGCTTAAAAGCGGAGGAACTCCCATTCTCGGCCTCTTGAAGCTGCAGCAAAGAGCGAAGCCTTGCAAAGAGTCGTTCTGGAGGAATCGCTTTGTTCTACTCTCACTTACTTCGTGCGTGTCCCTGCTGTCCTCTGTCCTGCTGCGTGTCGTCTGCTCCTCCTCCACGTCGCTGCACCTGCTGCGGGTCTCGTGCTGTGGTCCGTGGGTCTTTGCCGCTCTCCTCCTTTGCGGGCTCTTTCTGCGGGTTCGCCGCTGCTCGTCTCGTCGCGGCCTGCTGCTGCATACGGCCGGTCTGGACCGGTGCGGTGGGAGCCGTGCGCATCCCTGCCTCCTCGTGCCATACGGTGTGGTCCCGTCGTGTTGTCCCTTATCTTCTGGCGTTGCGGGTAAGTATGAGATCTGCGGACGGTTTATTCCCCTCGCATTGTCCTGCAGGCTCAGTTGGCCCCGCGCTTGTAATGCAGGCTCAGTTGGCCCCGTGCATTGGTGGGCAAGCATCAGTTTAAAGCCCTCGCATTGGTCTGCAGGCTCTCTTTAACCAAGCTCCGTTTAAATCCTTCACTCTGACTGCAAGCTCCGTTTAATCCCTCAAATTGGACTGCGAGCTCTCAGTTTAATCCCTCACGGAACTGCTTATATCTGGAACTGCTTACGTATTATGGAACTGCTTACGTATTGTGGAACTGCTTATGTATTACGGAACTGCTTATGTATTACGGAACTGCTTATGTATTACGGAACTGCTTATGTATTACGGAACTGCTTACGTATTATGGAACTGCTTACGTATTGTGGAACTGCTTACGTATTATGGAACTGCTTACGTATTATGGAACTGCTTATGTATTACGGAACTGCTTATGTATTACGGAACTGCTTATGTATTATGGAACTGCTTTTATGGAACTGCTCATATTGGGACTGCTCATACCTGGAACTGATTATATGGTACTGCTTATACCTGGAACCGCTTATACAGTGCATGGAACTGCATATATTGGTTCTGCTTATATCTGGACCTGCTTATATACGGAACTGCTTATATATGGATCTGCTTATATACGGAACTGCTTATACATGGATCTGCTAATATATGGATCTGCTAATATATGGATCTGCTAATATATGGATCTGCTAATATATGGATCTGCTAATATATGGATCTGCTAATATATGGATCTGCTAATATATGGAACTGCTAATATATGGAACTGCTAATATATGGAACTGCTAATATATGGAACTGCTAATATATGGAACTGCTAATATATGGAACTGCTAATATATGGAACTGCTAATATATGGAACTGCTAATATATGGAACTGCTAATATATGGAACTGCTCATATCGGAACTGCTCATATCGGAACTGCTCATATCGGAACTGCTCATGCAATATATTGAACTGCATATATTGGTACTGCATATATATGGAACTGCATGTATATGGAACTGCATGTATATGGAACTGCTTGTATATGGAACTGCTTGTATATGGAACTGCTCGTATATGGAACTGCTTATATCTGGCTCCGTCTCCTCCCTCAACGACGCTGTCTGCCCGGACGCGGGGTGCCGCTCCGACCTGGCGTTCGGGTCCCGTCTGCAGAGCCGCTGGGACGGTGTATCTTTTTTTACAGTGACGTCATCCCGTCCTCAGATGCCCTGCGGTTCTTCACGGACGCAGCCCCGTCCGTGGGTTTTGGGGGTCTCTTCCAGGTCCAGTGGTTCGCCGGGCCCTGGCCCGACGCCTTCCCTCAAAGCATCTCCTCCGCGCTCCCGATAACCTTCCAACGTCATCCGTCTGTTTTCAGAGCCCAACTCAAGTCCGTACTGCTGCTTGTAACCTGTCTCCCCATCTCTACACAGCCCACTCCTTCGGATAGGCGCCGCCACGCGCGCCGCGTCCCTTGGGCTCCCCTATTCCGCCCTCCAGCAGCTGGGCCGCTGGTCATCATCGGCCCTCTCCTCATACATCAGGCCTGACACTTCGACCATCCTGGCAGCCCAGCGCCTCTTTGCATCTCCATAAAACACTTGCAAACTTCCTGGTGGCGGCAGCAGCTGAGTATCCGCAAGCATGGTCGCAGCAGCTGAGTATCCGCAAGCAATGGTCGCAGCAGCTGAGTATCCGCAAGCAATGGTCGCCCGCAGAGACTGTTCGGCAGAGACTGTTCGGCAGAGACTGTTCGGCAGAGACTGTTCGGCAGAGACTGTTCGGCAGAGACTGTTCGGCAGAGACTGTTCGGCAGAGACAGAGACTGCTCGGCAGAGACTGCTCGGCAGAGACTGCTCGGCAGAGACTGCTCGGCAGAGACTGCTCGGCAGAGACTGCTCGGCAGAGACTGCTCGGCAGAGACTGCTCGGCAGAGACTGCTCGGCAGAGACTGCTCGGCAGAGACTGCTCGGCAGAGAGAGGATCCGCAAGTTTGGTCACAATAGATAGCGGTCACAGCATATAGTGATAGCGGTCACATTATATAGCAAAAATGGTTAGCGGTCACAGTATATAGCAAAAAATGGTTAGCGCGCGATGGTCGCGACTCGTCAGCATATAGCGATAGCGGTCACAGTATATAGCGATAGCGGTCACAGTATATAGCGATAGCGGTCACAGTATATAGCGATAGCGGTCACAGTATATAGCGATAGCGGTCACAGTATATAGCGATAGCGGTCACAGCATAGAGTAGTCTCGACGTCTGTCCCCTTCAAACCAGGCTGCAAAACTCCATCAACTCACAACCTTTTGGGGATTGGCACGCTCCATCGCAGAGCCCCTCCGATCTGAAGGCCGCACCGGGGCCTAGGGCGCCAAACCTCCTCCCAATAAATACTCAAAAGCTTCTTGTTTCACGTCTCTCCAAATTGAAATGCAGCCAGCGTAAGTTCAATTTGGTAGACGTCAGCCAAAGGTAACCCCTCCAGGCCGGTTCTCATCCCCAGCCTATCGCACTGCAAACGCCCCCTTCCAATCACCGGTCCAGCCAGGCAAGCTGCTTAAAAGCGGAGGAACTCCCATTCTCGGCCTCTTGAAGCTGCAGCCACCGCCTCCCCTCCTCCTCCTCTTCACCCTGCTTCATTCTGCCTTCAATCTGCTTCCCGCTGCCAAATGCCGCCACCAGTGCCTAGGTCCCGGGGGATTGGCACGCTCCATCGCAGAGCCCCTCCGATCTGAAGGCCGCACCGGGGCCTAGGGCGCCAAACCTCCTCCCAATAAATACTCAAAAGCTTCTTGTTTCACGTCTCTCCAAATTGAACTGCCGGAGGAGTGCAGGGGCCGGGAAGGTTCATAGGATAAAAGCAAATCTGAAAGATAAGAAGGCCCAAGACCATTAAGACATTTAAAAACCATTAAAAGGACCTTAAAATCGATCCTGAAACACACGGGGAGCCAATGCAGCGATTTTAAAACCGGTGTAATGTGGTCCCGCCCCCTGGTCTTAGTCAGGACACGTGCGGCCGAGTTTTGGAGTAATTAAAGACTTGCAATGTTCTTTTTGGGAAGACCAGAGAGCAGGGCATTACAATAGTCAATGCGACTGGTGATAAAAGCATGCATCAGCGTCTCCGTGTTGCCCCGAGAGAGAATGGGGCGGACTCTGGCGATGTTCTTTAGATGATAAAAACCTATTTTTGTGATTGTTTCCCATGGTGCCATCAGCATCACTACGTAATTAAGAATCCAGGTTCAATGTCAAAGTCGTTCATCCAGGATCAATGTTGGAGCCAAACAATCAAGGGTTACTGGGTTAAGGTTATTGTTAAGAGTCCAAGATCAACCCTGACATGGATTCATTCATGATTTGGAGTAAACTTTACTTACTACTGTTACTCAAATAACTTTGTGTCTGCAAGTCAACTCTTACAGCCCGGGAGACTTGATCTTTCTCAAGAGATGTAAATGTTAAGGATTAGCCTGAAGAAAATTATTAAAAAGCAATCAACCAGGGTCAGACTGCTGCTGTCAATATGAAAAAGTTATTGCATATAGAGTTTGCGGCACCTGGCTGAGTGGTTAGCACTCTCGCTTCTCACCTGAGTTTGTTTACACTTCCAGTCAGGGCCTATCTGGGTGGAGTATGCATGTTCTCCTGTGTCTGCTTAGGTTTCCTCCAGGTGCTCCTGGTGGTTTCTCCTACTATTAAAGATATGTACAATGATGTCCCTCTCCCTGGAGCCAGGACTCCTGAACAGTAGATTCTGATTCTGAGGTCAATACAGTATTTGATTGCACAAGTTACAAGAGGGTGTTTTCTCAATCGAGTATTTAGGAATTGGAGCCCCTACATCATTGACATCTATTGTCAAAACATTGCTTTGAAGGTAGTCGCTTTCTGTGCATTGATCGCTGCCGGATCAGTCTCTGTCAGACTCTGGAGTGAGGGAGGTTGGCTTCAGTTTTCTGCCCCGACATTAATCAATGAGGAGTTAACAGGCCGCTCTAAGAGTGAACATTTCACGACACACGCTCACTCCAGCTCTTATTAGTATTGCATTTTGTGACAAGTGGTCCTTAGAGACCAATACCATGTAATTGTCAACTGCAGGCTGTATTTTCAATTCTGTGTCCTGTTGGTTTATGCAAACCTAACTGAAAGCATAATAGTTTGTTTTACTCCCAGTGATCTATTTGCTGACACCTCCGACCACATATTTAAGTCAAGCGATTAAAGTCAATGGTGACATATTTATGAGGTCACATCAGGGGTTAATGCGCGCTGCTTAGCCCTGAGACAATCCTATCAGAGCGACACGTCCAACAATACACACGTACACAAGACAAATTGAATTAGCTGTCTGATGTCTTCTTAACTGTTCAGTCACAAACATGCAACATATTTAAGACCCCACACCGAAGCTGACACTCCCATCGACCATGTTGACCTTTTGGCATGCATAATGAAGCTGTTGTATCACTCCAGTAAACCGCTAATTAAATTGGGCTGAAACAGCAGCTTGCCTGTAGTGGAAAGTGCAGATTAGGCCGCTTTGTGCTTTAATTAAAATCTACTGCTGAGGTTTTCCCAAGCAGAGGTTTACCACACACCGGCCAAGATACTCCCACATGTGAAATATAGCCAGCATGCTGCGTGTTTGTTATTCACAGCAACTTAATGGGACATTCATAGGGGCATATGCTACTTAAAATTAGGCATAGGAAACCTGCAGAAGTCGGATGCTGTACTTTGTGATCAGAGGCATTTTCATATCTTCATAGCTTTACATTTGTCATCTGATAATGCAGTTGAAGTCAAAGTGCGTCCCTGGGTCCGTGGAGCGAGGAGTGGGTAGTCCCCTCTCCTTCACCTGAGCAGCAGAAGGTCAGTGTGGGCTGCCCCTCCTGCAGCTTTATGAGCCTTATAATTAAAACAGGGAGTAAATAGTGGAGGGAGTGAAGGGCCGCTCTATAACTCTTCAGCGACTTATCACTGCATCACTGAAGCGTTCACAGATCGGATACTTTTCCTTTAAAAACCCCTTTTGAGAAGACTTTTTGGGTGATAAGCTCTTAGGACTTTTAATGATTTTATATCAATTAATTTACACTCCTAGATTTAAATAATATATATGATAATGAAGTAATGTATTGACTCAAGTGATGCATTGAAAGAGGATGAAGACAGGTTCACAGGTCGATAGAATTGGCATTATGTGCAGTCATCAAGACGGCCAGGACAAACATGCCATGACTGATTACATTTATGCCCAGTCCTTCTGTTGAGGACTGATGCCATCCACTGCAATATGAACATTCTGGTGCACTACAAACTATGTAACCATGAAGTAATGAAGTCTCTGACCTGTTTCTCTTCGTGTGCACGTAGTCGTATTGTACTACAGTCTGTGGCTTAAACAGATGTAATCTACTCCTTTTTTTCAGGACATTGCATCCCAGAAGTTCTCCATGCCGTCACCTGTCCGCACTGTTATTGTTGCCGACTTTGACAATGATAACGAGTTGGAGGTTTTCTTCAATAACATTGCGTACAGAGGGCCCTCTGCTAACAGACTCTTCAGGTATATGCACAGCTACATCACACCAACATCATGCACACACACAGAAAGTAGAAAGTGCAGGTTTACTACTTCTGTAAGTTTTAATGGCACTTTGATGAGGAGCTTAATGTACTAGTCGTGTGTCTTGAATTAATATTCTAAAACTGCTCTTGGAAGCTGAGGTGAATTTCAAATTCCCAGCCAAGGATACTTATCACGTCTGGCACCCCGCCTCCTCTCTCCACATGAATGACTCTTTCATTAAGACACTTTTAAGGCTCTTTTTGGCTCATGGTGTGACTTCCTCTCCAGATAATATTAATGAACTCAGGTGCCTAAGCGAAATATTTGATACATATCAATTGTAAGGAAAATAACAGCAAACAGCCTGAATTCAATCTGATCTTCTGGTTTTTAATAAACACGATGCCTGTCGCATGTAGACGCTGACATGAGCGGCTGGGTCAATTCATGGCTATCAGAGATGTTGTTTGCAGTTAGTGAGTGAAACCTCCTGCTGCAGATCAGTAGAGGGGACAGGGGTCAGTTGCACAGCCCAGTGCGCTGCTATTGTCCAGTCCCAAGATGAATCAGCTCATTTATTCTGCTCTGGCACCGGGAAAAGGCTCCAACTATTGTGCCCCAGCTAATTAATTCGATAGGGCTGATCAATATTTAGCTGAGCTGAGAGCTTTAGTTGACATGATCAGCACATTTGCACACTGTAAAATAAAATTATAACTCCAGTAAAGTTCGGTGTCAAGCTTCATTATCGCCTTTGGCTGTTGTTGCTGTTCAATGTGTTTGTCAAGTAAATGCCATTGCTCCAGTGTTACTGTTTCTAATTTCATACTTTACATATGCATTCTAGAAGCTAACATATACAATACACAAAGCACATGAGAATAATAGATTGACTCAACAGGGTGAGCAGGCGAGAGCATGGGGACCCTCAGATTGAAGAGCTGAACATTGGAGAGGCAGCTGAACCTCAGGGGAGAGGCACTGGTAAGACACCCTTCGGCCGCTGTTCTGTCAAATTAGCTTTAGATGGCGCCAGAGAATCTGGAATCTGCGTCTGTGCTGGTGAAAAGACAAATGAGTTTATTAGTTGTAAGACTTAGGAAACATTAGGCTGATATTTTGTGCATGCTGACAGTTAATGTGATACTGCTGTGATGTTTACTCGCTTCATTACTCTGATGGATCTCAGGAGCTGTGGCCACAGACTTGGACGGCGATGGGCGCCTCGAGCTGCTCGTGTCTCATGGAGAAAGTGCCGCTCAGCCGCTCTCCATCTACAAAGTCAACCATGTGAGCCCCGGGACAATTATACACAAGTCATGCTCATGTGAACTGCTTTGAACACATTAGGATTCTGTTATAGGGAGCCACAAACTCATGGCTGCGAGTGATTCCTCGCACCAAATTTGGGGCTTTTGCCAGAGGAGCTAAAGTGGTGGTGTACACCAAAAAGACAGGCCCACACACTCGCATCATAGACGGTGGATCTGGATACCTGTGTGAGATGGAGCCTGCTGCACACTTTGGCCTCGGTAAACAATCATGTCTTCACCAACATTATATCAACACCATCAACACCTTTTCTGATCTTCCCTTCTATTGAATATGTGTTTCCAGGGAAGGATGTAGCCACAAACGTGGAGGTGTACTGGCCCGATGGGCGATCAGTGGCCAGACCTCTAGAGCCAGCAGAGATCAATTCAGTGCTGGAAATTGACTATCCCAGAGATGAAGAGGTCACAACACCAGTAGAAATAGAGGTTCGTAAAAGCAACCTATAATCATCTATACAAAGAGAATATGTATTTGTCCCTCCAGGTGCCTGTGTAGCAGTAATAACCAGGACCCCCAATATGTTTCCCTGCACTTTTTTTTGCATGTCTCTTCTTCTTTTATACAATATGTCCGTTCTTTCAGTAGTCCTCTATAACTCTCTAAACTAACTCATGTTTCATGACTCCAACTTTTTTTCCCCACTCAACCTGTAATTGTGGATTCTGAGGTTTCCTACTAACTTGCATCTGCACATGTGTTGCAGTGTGGTCATGGTTTTGCACTTAATGAGTATGGCAGATGCACAGGTGAGAACAGTATACGTGTGTCAAAATAATCCTATTCATGTGTCTTCATTTAAGTTGTTATCCCCTCGCCTTGTTCAGATAAGGATGAGTGTACCCAGTTCCCCTCTGTGTGCCCCTCTGACCGCCCTATCTGTACCAACACCTACGGCAGCTACAAGTGCCGCTCCAAGAAGAGATGTAACCAAGGCTTTGAGCCCAACGACGACGGCTCAGCCTGCGTCGGTGAGTGGACTGCTGCATGAGCTGAGACTGCAAGACAACGCCCTGATTTGGGCCCAAAAAGGAGCAGTTGGTATTTTTTTTTCACCATAGATCTAACAAACAAAGAACTACATGTCCTAAGAAATTCTGGTAGGGAAAATAAGTTTAATTTCCATCAATTTAAGAAGTGTGCCCAATATGGGAATGCGTACAACTGCAACTGAAGGCTTTCCTTTACTTAATTAAACTTAAAAATTAAACTTAAGACACTGGAAGTATAAATAAATTGTTAGTAAAAACTGTTACAAAATTGTGAATGCAACTGAGCACTAATCAAAAGTATGCCCAAAAAAATAATGTTAATTTTACTCAACACACAGTTTGATTGTTGATTGTTCATTGTGTGTCATTGTGATTGGAGTAAAAAATAAGATCTATAGTTGGATTTGATAGAAATAGCCCTATGAGGATTTTCATTTCTTTTGCACTTTGGTTCTGGTTTTGTTCATCCAAACGAGCCACTCCTTCTCATGTCGAGAGGAACTAGATGAAGTGGCCCGGCCATCTGTTCTGGATGCCTCCTCGTCGCTTCCCTGTGAGACCTCAGGGAAAACCTAGGAATGTCTCTCAGCTGGCCTGGGAACACCTCTGGATTCCCCTGGATCATTTGGTGGAAATGCGTCTGGATAGAGTAGTCTGGGCGTCTCTGCTTAGACTGCAGCCACGCGACTTTGCAACGAATAAAACTATGGAAAATAGATGAATGGATTTTGACTGAATGATCTATGGTGAAAAAAAAAACCCAAATTCAATTAGATCCTTGCAGGAGACTATTTGGCCTGGAACCACTAGCGGATTACAAATAGAACTGGCAACAGGCCCATGTGAGATTAAATACGATCCCCAGATATTTGATAACAAGAAAGCTATAGAAATAGGAAACAAAAGGATGGTAGATGATGCAGCATGTGGGAAAAAGGACAAATTGCCACACGGAAAAGTTGTTGTGACTAATGGAAATTGTCCTGCGTTGGAACTCTCGCGTTATTCTTTCAACACTGAGCCTGCCAAACATTTTTCCTAACAGTTTTCCGGCAAACGCTTAAAGTCCCCAGTGTGTCCCTCAGGTGGCTGTCTGTCTTGCATGACTAATTACTCCTTGTCAGAAAATTGTCTGTGACTTAAACTATACTATACTAGAAGTCAGTGATGTAGTAACACCTTGCCTTTTTGTTGTTGTATTGCAGCAAAGGTGGCTTACTTTGGAGGTACGCGGTCCTCAGGTCAAAGCAAGTGGCCGGACTCCTCCCCGTGGTTGCTGTATCTACCATCCTTACCGCTCCTCTCACACCTCTTCCTGTCCGGACTTCTGTAGCCGCTGCTTCTGTATCCCCAGCCCTGTCCACTTCTCATAGGGGATGTACACAGACTGAGAAAAAAACCGTATAATCCTTCATCCATCGCATCTCCTTTCTGGATATATTGTACGTGCACCATGTCATCTGGACACATTGCCCGCTGGGAGCAACAGGTTGTGGACTCTGTCATGACAGCACTTCAGACAGCTGCTGGGCCTTTCAAGTGACAGGAGCATGAACTAGAGCCACAGCAGAAATATGAACTGATCCCAAGAGAGGCCCGTCCACACCTATGTCCACAATACATCCACTCTGTGCCACGCTGGGCCAAGCTGCTGGGCTGGGAGACTGAGGACCACAGTGCTCTTGGTGGGATTCTGTGAACGTGTGTACATATGCACTGTCTGATGGCCGCAGGACTGTGTCTCTGCTGAGGAGCAACGTGTGTGGTAGAAAAAAAGAGGCCAAATTATTTTGTTATTGGTCAAATGTTATGATTATGATTATCATAATCGCAATGATCGGGAAAAAATGAGGCGATAATGAATAGATTTCGTCATATACTGTAGTTCTGAGTGACTAAGCCTACACAAATCTGAGTAGAGATTGCAAGTAGCCCAGATAGGATTGTTGTTCATTTGTATTTTAGAAATTATTTATTTTGCTTATTGTGTAACAAAACGACACAGATGCTGAAGTGAAAATGTTTAAAGTGATAAAAATGTATTCGTATATTGGGCTTGACTAATGGAGGTGTGACACAATGTAGATTTTTAAGTGGAAAAGAGAGATATTTTAGCAAATTTGTCGCACAAGCCTCTCCCAACATCTCACACATAAAGGACTGTTTTCACTGAGGCGCTAAGCACAAAGGCCATCTGTAAATAATGACCATTTCCGCTGATATTTCAAATCAGATGTGATTCATGTCTGAGAACTTTCAGAGTAAAACAGTCTGTCTCAGTGCATGAAGCAAAACACACAATGGGTGGATGTATTATTTTTTACACTAAAGATGTTTAGAATTGTACTGACGGTTGAATTGCCTTCGAGTAAGCCAAAGAATCAGATCTCCTGGGTACAGCTGGCTCAAACCAACAACGTAGGTTCATGTTTTCATCCATCAACATTTTTAAAGAGGTGTTTTGCACAGTTTAAATACTGAGTCACATAACAGATATAAAAATTATCAACTAATGCATGAACAACATAAATGATGATCGATTATTTACTTTCAGTCAGTTTAGGTGGAAATGAAACTAAGAATTAAAGCACACGTCTGAAGCTGTGTGACTATGCACACTGCCCCCTGCCTGTAACGAAAAGTAATACACATAAGATTGTCTCAGCTTGGATCTCCTTGTCTAGATGTTTACATAATGGTATGTTTGAATACGTGTCTAAAAGGATTACATTCATTTGATTTAAAATATCTTACAGATTGTATCGCATACACTGCAAAAAAATGCAAACAATATGGTAATAAATGCTTGAATAAAGTTTTTTTTATCTGTCTAAAAACAAGATTAGCCAATGGGACAAGCAAAAAATGTCTTCAAAAGTCAAGAAATGTCTTCCTTGGAATGAGAAATACACAAAACAACTTGTTCCATCGGCAAATGTTGTTTTAAGACAGTTAGAATATACTGAAATGAAGATGAAAACTCTTGATACAAGCATTTAACACCTTATTCTTTGAAATGTTTGCAGTGTACAGTACGTGCCATGCAATGTAGGACTATCTGCTTAGGCCTATTTCCCTTTTCTCGAATTCATTGATGTCTGAATTTCAGCAAAACTCTACAAGACACATTTAAAGCACTTTGTGGAATGCATAATATCCACACATGGGAAAGTTATGAAATGACTCGAGTGAAACATTTGCACAGCAGGTTCCATGTGTGACCTCTTTTGCCTCCCCCTGAACTACGCTGAACACAAATAGACTTTGGCTTTGTGTGCGGAGACAGTGGGACGTGAGAGTGGAGCGGTGTTTGACAAAATAAAATAAAAAAACAACGTTGTGATGGATTTTACTTTCCTCTACCACCGTTTCATACATTCCACTCAATTAAGCTATGTATTTGTGGAATGAATGAGAAACATAATATCACACACAGGGGCCACTCAACATGCGTCACTACAAAAACACAACCATGAGTAATGATTCCATGGAAGGGCAGTGACATAAAGCAGGCACAAAGTCGCGCTGAAAACACAATTATTGCTAAGTTCATTCATGGTACGGAGTAAAACCATGTAAACCAGCTCGAGGTTTACTCAATAGAGGACTGAATATTTTGTACCCTCGCTTCCCTTTTTCACACGTTGCCCAATAAAGCGTCCAGGATAGAAAAGAAAGAAAGACAGGAGTTGTTTTTATTGATTCCCACAATATCAAAAAATTGGAGCTATGAAAATACTTGGTGTAAAAACCAGGATATCAAAAGGCAGAATGAAAAAGACAGAAAACAAATAATATTTCTTTATTATGACACATCCAAAGACTTAATTCAGTATTGGTTTAGGGTGGAGGAGGTTTGCTGCTTTTAAAAGACATGAAAATTAATGAATTAGGTTCTTAAAGGAAGAAATGAGAGATGAATGTGTCTGTCATTGTGAAGAGGCAAAGAGGCTTCTGCTCTTGACTCGAGAAAACTGTGGAAACTCACTTTTTCTTTCATAAACAATACATTTTGCACGAGTCAACAGAAAGACCAAACCAAAACGTCTTTTTAGAACAAATGTATCTATCATAGTAACTCATAAGTAAGTTTCCAGACTAAGTTACTATGATTGTATTACTATAGTTCATATACTAAAGTACATACAGTATTGGGGTGGTTGAAAGTTAGGTACCCCAGCTTCAAAATACACAACTTTTCCAAACAACTTTCTTTTACTGCACATGAATATATAAATACATGTAATTAGTGTATTTAGTTGCTCTCATGATGCACCATAGATGAATATGAAACGAATGTCTTACATGGTCAAAAGACGAATGCTGTAGGTTTATCTGGTTACATTGGCTCCATATTATAAACACACTTTTACGTCTAGGTCAATTTTGACGACCACCAAGAATATTAGTCTATGTTGAATTAAAAAAATGTATAAATTAGATCTACACTATCGCAAAACTTGTTCCACAAAACCACAATCTTGAGAAATTACAACAAATGTGACATTAAATTCAGAAAATGGGTTTTTTGAAGGATACAGATCCGCGTCCCACCTGAACATACGGAGGGCATTGCTACGTCCCTTTTCAGTCAGTATTTGGCACACTCAATCTCTGCCCTGAGTAATCATGGTGTCTCCTTCTCTCTACATTGTACAGTATATACATTTATTTTGGACAAACAGGACACAGCTGCTCCAGAAGCTACTCTGACACTCCTTTTGCTGGTTATTGGAAATATACAAGTGTGTTAGTGCTAAAAAAGTGACATTTCAATATAAATACCTTTTGAGGATACAGTAATATGTCTATTGTATTAACAAATATAATCTTACAGTCTGTAAATCTTTCCGTCAGCCCCAGGATGGGAATCCGCACAGGATTGAAACATGAAGGCATCTGTGGCACAAGCACAACAACTGCTGCAGAAAACAACAATTATAAAAGACATTTCTGCTTTGAGCCAGCGCTGGACTAATGATGTCCCTAAAGGAGAGTTAACCTCAGTCTGACGCCGCTGTGCAACTGAATCTCATTCTCCAACGTTACAAACGCCTTTCAAACAGTTTGTTTTCCTGAAAAAAGATGCAGTAGAGTTTGTTTTAAGTTGCTGTTCAGTGGGATTTGCTCATTCACGTGGACCGACACTAGAGGGTGCTAGAACTGTCCTGCTAACATTATTCAGTAAACTGATAAAAAAGAACCCAGGATCAATGGGATCAATGTTTCAACACACAATCTTAACCCTAATTACTTGGTCGTATCAAACCGTGACTGTTTTTCAGCTTTTTTGTGAAAAATGCCAAGTAAAATATCATTCTAATTAAATGTATGACATGTTTGTGTAATAAGTAAGAGTAACATAATGTTACAATCATTTAAATTATAAGTATGTAAAGACATAAAGTGCAAATATAATCTGAGAATAAAAGTGGTGTACTTAGTCTGAAGAAGAATACGGAAAAGATAAAATAAATTGGAAGAAGTGGGAATAGATATTTCAATCATTATGATGAGGCTATTAATGTGCTTTCTTTACAAAGTTACAAATGAACCTAAATGCAGTAGAGTACATGTTAGTAAATGCAGAAACCTTAACACTTAGTAGTTTTTTGCCATTGGTTTGGTGTCATTTGTTCACTAGTGAAAGCCAGTGTACATAAAGCACAGAGGAATGTGCACGTGCGCACTGAGCCTGCAGCTGTGATGAGGGTCACTGACATCTTATTGCTGGGAATGAAGAAGATAAATAATCCAAGGTGCTCTGTGGTGGCTGTTTGATACTGAAGCCAAAAGCATGTGAACAGAGCATAGAACCACAACGTCCAACAGAAGGACTAATTTGCCAGCATTCAGAGCAGGCTGACCTGGCGACCTCACATGAATGCAGTCATTCTGTGTGAGCAGTGAGCACTAGCTCTCCTCCTGAGGGACGAACAACAGCCACTTCTGACTCTGACCCCAGTCAAACAATGGAACTCTGCCTTAAGCAGGGCTGCTGACTCAGCCCAACCAGCGCTGATTCAGGAAACATAATGTATAGAAGAGTCAAATCAAATTACAAATGGATCAAGTGATAGAGCTCTTGTAGCTGCAGTGCTTGTGTTGTGCTTGTGCCCTCTGACTACTGGTCCACAGTTTGTAGGAACTGGTCCACTCAGAACCTGGTGCTCTCATGTTTGAGCATTCGGACGCTGGTGAGTGTCCCGCTGCCTCTGTGCTGATACCCGTAAGCCTGGTGCTGCTCCGCCAGTCACCGAGCGGTACTGCAGGCTGAAGACATGCTGCTGCTGCTGGGACTGGAGCTGCTGCAGCCGTGGTCCTCGTACACACTGATCTCCAGCTGAGGGCACAAGTCAAGGACCGAACACGGAACATGAAGTCATGAGGCATTAAGGTGGCTCCTGCACTGAGCCAGAGCAGCCCAATACAATGTGATGGTCTACTGGCCACAATCTTGGGTCTTCTCTGTCCTTGGGTGGAGCAAGCAATTTAAAATTCTTTCACATTGATTGACTTTAAGTGCAGCACAATGTAATAAAGGATAAGCTAAAACCCATAATAACCCTTTTAAAAGAGGTTAATTGAGATTGAAGTCAACTTTACTCCAGGCCAGGGATTCTGACTTGAGTCGAAAAACAAACTAGCACATAGTAATTCATCATACATGTTGTTTTGAACACGTCAGTAACAGCTGGTTCCCACGTCAGCATCGGGGCATATTGCAGTGCGTGGTTATGAGTGAAGGATACAACACGCATTCCTCTCTCTATGGGGTCTGTGAGGAGCAGGCCTCTCGGAGCATAGATCTTCTCATTCTGCTCCTGGATGAAGCCCGATATCTTCTTCAGCACCTGGCACAGAGCAGGAGGCAGACAGGGATAAGCCGCAGTCAAACCAGAAGCTACACATAATCCACATTTGATTAGAATCACTGAGACATGATCAAAATTTAAACACACTCAATATGAAACCAAGAATCATATAATAGGAACAAGGCATTCTGTTTGAGTGCATGTATTAGACAGAGAGTCAAAGGAGAAACAAAGGAAAACAAGACTTTGCACAGCGCACGTCCGGAAGTGGAATATACTGCATGTCGCACGGGACTTTCTGTTGAGGAATATACTGTTACATGACCGCTGTGGGATTGTCGAGGAAAACAGGATATTAAAGGAGACACACTATGTATTTTTGCTTTTAACCAAGTTTCAACATCGTTCCCTCATCCAAAAAATATGTTTTAGATCCATCCACGCCACTATCAGAAACTCTTGTCACAAACATGTAACTCCGCCCCTTCTGTCTAAAGGATGTAATTGCACCTCTATGACATCACACTCAGAGCCCATGAATAAGTAAATTCAGAACATTTTCTGGTGAAATTTGGTGAAAGCTGTTAGTTTTTTTTCATTTGGAAAAAAACAAAACATATTCTACACCTCCTCTGGTGGCAGCACAGGAGCTACAGGTCGAAACCATTCTTTACCCTTGAAACTTGTTACACCATTTATTTTCTACTGAATACATTATTTCACATTCTAAAACATGAAATGACGCAATTAGTTGGAACAGCCAAAATAATGCATCATGTTTCTTTTTTCAGTTTAAACATTTCAACTAATAAAATTAGGTTATATACTGTATATCGTATGGTTGTGTAAATGTATAAACCTTTGACTGACATGGTCAGTTCATTTGGAGCATACACTGGTTTATGGCAGATGTTCTGCCAAGAACAACAGCAGTTATTTGAAATAGTTTCATTAGTAAAGTTTATGCAGCTCTGTGGATGCTTCTGTGAACACTTAAAGCAGATGTTTCATGCTCTGCTCATGTCTCACCGTGACAATCTGAGGGAACACACTGACCACACTGACCACACCGACCACACCGACCGCACCGACCACACCGACCGCACCGACCGCACCGACCGCACCGACCGCACCGACCGCACCGACCGCACCGACCGCACCAACCGCACCGACCGCACCGACCGCACCGACAACACCGACAACACCGACAACACCGACCGCACCGACCACACCGACCACACCGACCGCACCGGCAACACCGACAACACCGACCGCACCGACCGCACCGACAACACTGACAACACCGACCGCACCGACCGCACCGACAACACCGACCGCACCGACAACACTGACCACACCGACCACACCGACCACACCGACCACACCGACCGCACCGACCACACCGACCGCACCGACAGCACCGACCGCACCGACCGCACCGACAACACTGACAACACCGACCACACCGACCACACCGACCACACCGACCACACCGACCACACCGACCACACTGACCACACCGACCGCACCGACAACACCGACAACACCGACAACACCGACAACACCGACCACACCGACCACACCGACCGCACCGACCGCACCGACAACACCGACAACACCGACAACACTGACCACACCGACCACACCGACCGCACCGACCGCACCGACCGCACCGACCGCACCGACCGCACCGACCGCACCGACAGCACCGACAACACTACAACACCAACCGCACCGACCGCACCGACAACACTGACAACACCGACCGCACCGACCACACTGACCACACCGACCGCACCGACCGCACCGACCGCACCGACCGCACCGACAACTCCGACAACACCGACCGCACCGACCGCACCGACAACACTGACAACACCGACAACACCGACCGCACTGACCACACCGACAACACCGACCGCACCGACCGCACCGACAACACTGACAACACCGACCACACCGACCACACCGACCACACCGACCACACTGACCACACCGACCACACCGACCGCACTGACAACACCGACAACACCGACCGCACTGACCACACCGACCACACCGACCACACCGACCGCACCGACCGCACCGACCGCACCGACCGCACCGACCGCACCGACCGCACCGACCGCACCGACCGCACCGACAGCACCAACAGCACCGACCGCACCGACAACACCGACCGCACCGACAACACTGACAACACCGACCACACCGACCACACCGACCACACCGACCACACCGACCGCACCGACAGCACCGACAGCACCGACAACACCGACCACACCGACCACACTGACCACACTGACCACACCAACCACACCGACCGCACCGACCGCACCGACCGCACCGACAACACCGACCACACCGACCACACCGACCACACCGACCACACCGACCACACCGACCACACTGACCACACCGACCGCACCGACAACACCGACAACACCGACAACACCGACAACACCGACCGCACTGACCACACCGACCGCACCGACCGCACCGACCACACTGACCACACCGACCGCACCGACAACACCGACAACACCGACAACACTGACAACACCGACCACACCGACCACACCGACCACACCGACCACACCGACCGCACCGACCGCACCGACCACACCGACCGCACCGACAGCACCGACCGCACCGACCGCACCGACAACACCGACCACACCGACCACACCGACCACACCGACCACACCGACCACACCGACCACACTGACCACACCGACCGCACCGACAACACCGACAACACCGACAACACCGACAACACCGACCGCACTGACCACACCGACCACACCGACCGCACCGACCGCACCGACCGCACCGACCGCACCGACCGCACCGACAGCACCGACAACACTGACAACACCAACCGCACCGACCGCACCGACAACACTGACAACACCGACCGCACCGACCACACTGACCGCACCGACCGCACCGACCGCACCGACCGCACCGACCGCACCGACAACACCGACAACACCGACCGCACCGACCGCACCGACAACACTGACAACACCGACAACACCGACCGCACTGACCACACCGACAACACCGACCGCACCGACCGCACCGACAACACTGACAACACCGACAACACCGACCGCACTGACCACACCGACAACACCGACCGCACCGACCGCACCGACAACACTGACAACACCGACAACACCGACCGCACTGACCACACCGACAACACCGACAACACCGACCGCACCGACCGCACCGACCACAACACTGACAACACCGACCGCACTGACCACACCGACAACACCGACCGCACCGACCGCACCGACAACACTGACAACACCGACAACACCGACCACACCGACCACACCGACCACACTGACCACACCGACCACACCGACCGCACTGACAACACCGACAACACCGACCGCACTGACCACACCGACCACACCGACCGCACCGACCGCACCGACCGCACCGACCGCACCGACAGCACCGACAGCACCGACCGCACCGACAACACCGACCGCACCGACAACACTGACAACACTGACCACACCGACCACACCGACCACACTGACCACACCGACCACACCGACCGCACCGACAACACTGACAACACCGACCACACCGACCACACTGACCACACCGACCACACCGACCGCACCGACCGCACCGACCGCACCGACCGCACCGACCGCACCGACCGCACCAACCGCACCGACCGCACCGACCGCACCGACCGCACCGACCGCACCGACAGCACCGACAGCACCGACCGCACCGACAACACCGACCGCACCGACAACACTGACAACACCGACCACACCGACCACACCGACCACACCGACCACACCGACCGCACCGACAACACCGACAACACCGACCACACCGACCACACCGACCACACCGACCACACCGACAACACCGACAACACCGACAGCACCGACCCACCGACCACACGACCCACCCGACCGACCGACAGCACCGACCACACCGACCGCACCGACCGCAACACGACCGCACCGACAACACTGACAACACCGACCACACCGACCACACCGACCACACCGACCACACCGACCGCACCGACAACACTGACAACACCGACCACACCGACCACACGACCACACCGACCACACCGACCCACCGACACACCGACACCGACACACACCGACAACACCGACAGCACCGACCGCACCGACCACACCGACCACACCGACCGCACCGACCGCACCGACCGCACCGACCGCACCGACCGCACCGACCGCACCGACAGCACCGACAGCACCGACAGCACCGACCGCACCGACCGCACCGACGACCCACCGACAACACGACCACACCGACCACACGACCACACCGACCACACCGACCCACCGACAACACCGACAACACCGACAACACCGACCACACCGACACACACGACCACACCGACCACACCGACCACACCGACACACCGACCGCACCGACCACACCGACCACACGACCGCACCGACCGCACCCGACCGCACCGACCGCACCGACCGCACCGACCGCACCACGACCGACCGCACCGACCGCACCGACAGCACCGACCGCACCGACCGCACCGACCGCACCGACAGCACCGACAACACCGACAACACTGAAAACACTGACAACACCGACCGCACCGACCGCACCGACAACACTGACAACACCGACCACACCGACCACACCGACCACACCGACCGCACCGACCGCACCGACCGCACCGAACGCACCGACCGCACCGACCGCACCGACCACACCGACAACACCGACCGCACCGACCGCACCGACAACACCGACCGCACCGACCGCACCGACCGCACCGACCGCACCGACCGCACCGACCGCACCGACAGCACCGACAACACCGACAACACTGACCTGACAAGCTCTCAAACATTTAATTTAAGGCTGAGGAGAGCTTGGAAATGAAATTAATTTATCAATATTTTTATAATGTTTTATAATGTGAAATCAAAAAATGACATAAAATTAAAAATAATAAGTCATGTACATGACATGAGTCAGGTAACGTTATATTATCTTTAATATAATACTATAATACATGACTGATCTGTCAAAAGTAATCCTGTCCTTTTGACACAGTGAGAATGTTCTGGTCCCTTCGCAGCCGTGTGTGGCCTCTTTATCAGCTCCACTTGGGTGGTTGTTCCTGATGACCATCAGCAGATTGCCTCAGATGGTAAACAATATGTATCTGGATGTGGAAATGGAGCGGCACCCAGCTGACAGCAGATGAAAGGCGTTCAGAGGAGGACGGTTCTGCACGGCTTCACTGTTTTAAACTGTACCTTTGGAGTATTTCATCTTTGTGCTCTGGCAACACAGAGGTTTACAAAATACTGGCCCAGATGGAGCAGATTGCTGCAGAGATGAGGACAGAGAAGAACACTGAGATTGGGCAGGAGGATGAGGTCATCGAGAAGAAATCAGGATCATGTCATGATACTTTTGTGATATCTTCCCCATCCACCTCTCCAATGGCTGGCGTCCATAACACAGAGGAAAAGATAGAAATAACTCATCTTAGTTAAGTATGAGCTTTCAGGGGAAGCAGATTAATCTATCTATCCATTGTATAATTATCTAAATGCTTTTGTGGGTGGCCTTGAAATATTTACTGTTCAAAACTCATTTAAAACTGGCTTACACTTTCTCTAGATCTCAATCCTAATTCTGAAAAAAGTGGGATGACCTGCCGCAACAGACAAGAAATCCACTTACTGTGACTGTGGATGAAAGCTCAAGGATAAAGGGCAAGTTTTTGAGAAAGCCATTTGTGTGTGGATTGTGGACCACTGTTTTTGGCTTTTCTTTCAATAACATGTTTGAGATGAGGAAATCACTATGGCATGTTTCTATTCAAATGCTCTTCTTTCATGATCTCATATCTTTCTTGCATGAAATTTCAACATTTTACATATATTTCACCCGGAAGCCAAATACCCCTAACATTTTGTGTACTTTCATAGTGACACAACGCTTCAGTTTATAGATGAAATGTTGAAAAAGGCAGATCTCTACAGACTCTAATGACTGCAAACAAGTGGCCACAGTCCTCTCAGGCCAATGAAGTTGACCTCCATTAGCCATGGACCTTTTATGTGCAAGAATGCGTGCTCTCTTTCTCTGTGCTGATCCTGTTTCTTTACACAGTCCAAATACATTTAGGAAATCCAATAGTCTTGTGCTGATGAAGTGGCTCTGTCTAAACTGCAAATATCAAAGGTTTTTCCTGTGTATACGTCCCTCCAAAGAGCACGTTTAATGCACAAGCTATGGCCTGGGAGCAGCTTTGGTAACTCTCACTGAGATAAACAGACCGTTGCTGATGAAGAGCTGTTATTTTTGTACTTGATGTAAAAGGGTTACAGAAAGCAGAAGTGTGTTTTCCTTTGAGGCTGCTCAAAGTAGTTCAACAGGAGAACAGGTCCTATTTGAGACGCTTTCATGGATCAAACAATAAGCGCTTTAAATACATGCAGTAAAATCCACAAATTCCCATTCATAAACTCCAACGGCTGTATGAGCTGATTCAACACAATAAACAATAATTAAAACACACATTAGTCCTAGTGCTCGCCAAACACACAACGATGTATATTTGTTACACATTGTAGGCTAGTTTCTTTATTTGATTAATGTATTACTTTTTCTTTCTTGTTGTATACCAGAATAATAAGGATGTTACCTAACAACAATGTGGGACCAAAATACCTGTATCTCCAAGTTATTTATTTATATTTAATTGATTACAATGTCAATGCTATTGTTGTGATGTGTTGTGTCCGTTGTGGATCACTGCTATACATTCTGTAACCTGCATTATATTTTCACAATCTCGTTCACAAACTGTGGATTTATTGGTGACAAACTATAATTTAAATCTGAAACATGCACCAAAACATTCCAAATTAGAATCTGTTTTATCCTTTCCAACAGAATTCTGTACCTTCTCATATTTCGTTTCCATGCAGAAAAATACGAAATAAGCCGTGGCACAGGCCAAGCATCCTTCCAGATAAGACTGGCCTCCGATTTTCTCTGCTTCGACGTAGAAAGTGTTCAGTGTCTTCACGGTCTCCTCCAGCAAACACCGCTCGATCTACTTACAAACACAAACACAGGACAAATAATGGTGAGACAATAATACCAACAGAGTGAATAACAGTGAATTGTTGATCAAAAGAAATCACGTGTATCATCAACGTACTGATACTTTTGATCATTGATTGCCCGATTATTCTTTCGATTCGATGTCTATATTCCATGAGATCGGTGAATAAGGTTTTTTTTTTACACTTTAAAAAAAATGATGCCCCTGGGGACTATCTTCACAGAGATGACTAATTACACAACGGGGGTTTATTTTAAATACTTTTAAAACCTATTTTTATTCAATTCTGCAAACACTGGATTATTGCATTATCTTGAGTCATAAAACCTCTCCTCAGCAGGTTTAGGCTTAGTCTATGTCTGTGTAAGGTAAAACATGTCAAATGTCAAATTAGTATTAGTACTAAATTGCAACTGTTTCAAAAATTAATAATTACGATTAATTTGTCGCTCATATTACAGAGGAAAGTACTTACTGCAGTCTATTCATGAGATCTATTATTTTGCAATGATAGTAATAAGTGAGCAGTTTTGATAGGGACATTTTTCAATTGTTCTTAGGATTCTTTTTTGTAATAATAAATATACGTCGTACTCCTGCAGCAATTTTTTGGATTGTCAAAGACGCTTTACAAAGGGACATTTCATCAATTATTTTTGGCATGCGGTATGTTTTATGCACTTTTCAGAACATCACTTTACATTTTACGTCATTCGCAGCTGATAAATGGGAAATGTGTAGCTGTAATCATTTAGAAGGTTAATGGTGATTGCTGTGAATGAGGTCTGTCTGAGTTTCACAGCTGCAAGACGCATGTGCTCCTCTGAATCCCCCCTCTGCATCGCTCACTAATGCTAATATAACAAACCTAATGGGCCGTATCACAGATTCTGTGGCGGTGGCCAAAGCAAAGCGAAGTGTGAACAAAAAAAGCATTTTTCTGTCCAGATTCATTTTTCACCCCTATAAATTAAACAAAGCTTTAGTTTAGCCACAGACTTTGTCTCCTGATAATATGGTGACTAATAATGTCTTTATGAATGTCAAGTGCACCATGTACAGTCACATTTGTCATCGGAACGTCTCATGTTGGGGATGTGGTTATGAGCCCAGCGCTGGGACCTCACCCGGGTGTCGAGCTCCGGGGGAAACTTGGACTGGAAGCGGCACACTGTTCCCTCGCTGTAGTCTCTCTGGATGAAAACTCTTGTGGCCAGAGACGCACTTTGCCTGAGCTGCTGCAGGTTATGGAACTGCACAGAAGGAAGTAGGAAAGTTAGAATATAATTAGAAACTTACATAAATGTAGCGTGAACAAACTTATTACGAACAATAGAAAGTGTCTGGGTGCATCCAACTGTCCACACATGGCCCACGTTCAGTGGCCCCTGGTTTGATTTCCAAGTCTTAATATTAACAGGCAACATTAACAATGAGTGTCTCATACAGCTGTAATGACATGTTATACATGATTTTAAAAAGGTCACCATTGAGTGTAAATAACTATAAATCAAATGAACATTTATATTTGACCATGAGTCTAAAACTCTACGATAGTTTTGTGTTTAAAAAAAAAATCTTTACAAAATATTTGACGAGACAAAACTGTACAAATATTTAAAAATGGACATAATAATGCCCTGGAAGACAGCACTAACAGCACTAATCAGAGCTGAGTTGAGTGAAATGTTTCACACCAGTCATTCCCCTCAGAGGAACACACTAAAGAACTGCCCCCTGCAGAGTAAAGAAGTCCGGAAGACACTCAGTCTTCCGGACCCCAGTGCTGAAAGAGGAAGAGCAGTGGAATTACTGCTTTCAATTCTGTTCAATTATGAACAATGTTTTTTTCTGTCTTATCAGTCTTTTGTTTGACATCTTTAATATGAGCAGGATGAAATTGAGTATTATTAAATGTATTATTACATTCTATCAGAGTCTGTTTCCGGCCACAGCTGAGTATTTCTGAAGGACGTTTTTGGAGATCTGTTTAAGAAAAGATTATATGCCTCAATATAATGTTCTTTATCAAAATTCTTTATCATAATTTCACTTAAGTTTTGTCCTTACTTGTTTTGTCCTGTCAGACAAAGCCTTGACCACAATCATGAGACGTCTGTGGAGATAAGCGACCGGGCTGGGTTTGATCAGGGTGTGTGAACCTTAGAGCATTCCTAACTGTAACTCGAACAACATACGGCCCAGCAGGACGTCTTGGCACTCATGATGTTTGACCCATGTGTCTTTGCTCAGCAAAAACTCAGGAGTGTTAACACCCACAGACTTAAAACAGGGTCTCTAATTTTCATAAACTTGGACTCTCAGTAGACACAGCACGCTCACTGAAGCCTTTTCTAGCACTGGTTCAATGCCATAGTGGTGGGGAAGTCAACCCACATCCCAAACTTGAGAGCTGAAGAAATATATTTGGCCCAAGTGAGACACTCTATGCTATTTCTGTCAAATAAAAAATGTATGGTCTTTTGCAAATCCAACAGAAACGCACTTTCTTGTGGTCAAAGTCCCAAGCCTGCACACCTTCCCTGAGTGCTTATGTTTCTTTTGCGTGGGATCCCTCTTCAATCGAGTCTATTTCTGTCTGAAAAACAGAAGCCCACAGACGGTCATCCTCAAGTGTCATACTGATGATCACGCAGGAGACGATTAGGCAGCTCTGTATGTGCCACTGTCTGTCCAACGCCCACTCCAGGAGTCTGTGCCAAGTGCTCAGTTTCTGAAAGTACAAACTGAGCTAAAGGGGTAGGAGGCCCCAAGAGCAATCAAGAGAGCTACAGAAAAATAACAATGCAACAGACTTGTATTGTTCAGTGCAAGCCCCAGATATAAATGTACTGTATTTAAGCATCAACGGCTTGGAGCTGTCAGTCAGAGCCGTGTGGAGCGCTGCCACAGAGCACCCTCTCTGCACTCGCTGTGAAAGCTGCGGCTCTCTGCTGATCAGTCTTTCAGCATTCCTCACTCTATCAGGACTCTGTTTGTTTGAATATAATAACAGCACATTTTTGAAAATTAGGGTCTAGATGGTTTGCCTGAATACTGCATGCATGACTCAAGCTTACACCATGAGTACAAATAGTCACATTAAAGAGTGCAAAGAGAAAAGCAGTCTTATTGGATGCAGATTCCTGTTGATGACTTTGCTCCACACATAACTCCTGGGCAGGACAACCCTCTGGCCGCAGCGGACATAACTAATCCTCAATATTACACAAAGTGCCGATTGGCTGCTCACTAGCTTCATTGCTGCTGACTGAGCATGGTGAATAATATAATGGACTGATAGCAAGAACAATGGAATAAGAGGATTGAGACAAAGAGAGAGAGTCTGTAGTAGTTATTCTACTGAAGCTACCATATATTAAATTATGATGTGTTTATTAATAATTATGGTTGCCTATAGACATTATTTTGAAGTATACTGTCAATTGTGAGCTGCGACAGCCATACCCATTACCTGCTACTATTCTATGCAACATTTCATATAGTTGTATCACGTCATATTCTTGTCACTTCATGGCAATAAATATGGTGCCTGGCTTTTATTTTTTAACACGCCAGAGAGATTGAAAATTCCATATTCACAGTTGGCATGTGCCTCCATCTGACTTTAGTGCTGTTTGGTTTGTTAAAGGAAACTTAACAAATGCTGCAATAATCAAAGATAATTATGTACTGAAAAACAAGCTGGAAAATATATAGATTCAACTTAATCAATGTGAACTCTTGGGAGAAAAGTTAAGAGAGGCAATTGTTGTCCATGGTTTGGTCATTAAAATGGTAATGAAGGCACATCAGGTCTTCAGTACAGATATTATCATGAGGTAAGGAGGAGGATGTGCTATCAGACATTAATGTTGCTAAAAATACTTGGGGAGTCAGCAGCAGTGTATCCTTTGGGGCTTCCTGGAAAAGCCTCAGCTGTCAAAAAAAACGGAAAAGTCACAATGAAGCCCACAATATGTGCAGTTAAGCTCTTTATATACCACCAAACCCCAAATGTGCGATATGGTCTGTCATTTCAATCACAGCAGTGGCAGATACAGACTCTCTCCATGGTGCTGATGGTGCCAAAGTGTCTGCTCACTCCTTCACTTTTGACTTTACAAAGCACGCAATATCACCACATCTTCAGATTAAAACGCAAATAATACTAAAGGCAAACTTATACATTTACAGTTACAGTTCAGGATTGAAAGTTTAGCACAAGCAAAGCAAAACAGAGACGGTGCTATACTCCTGCGAAACCAGCCAGCGTGCATGATCCGCTAAGTGCCGTTGTAAATGGTGCTAATGAATTAAAATGACATTGACTTCATCGCCTAAGTATTATGCACAGCGGATCAAGCCTCTTCCAGCACTGCAACAGCGCGCCAGTAAACAACCAAGTCTTCCACACATATGCAATCAGAAAGACCCATCTCACCTCTGTCGCCATGTCTGGGTCGTGACGAGCGTGAGCGGCGGTAGTCCCGGGCGGATCGCGGTGTCCGGTGGGTGTTTGGATCTATGGTCACGGCTCCGCGGGACCATAGACTGTGTCAGCGCGGGACAAACAGCGGAGACCGGCGAGCGCGTGCACGAGGGGCGCGCGCGTCACCGAGGCGCGCTGGGAAATGATAATGAGCGGAATTCTAACAGGACTGAGGATGGGAATTCTGAATGTGGAGAATGTTTATTTTTGAAGAAGAAAGCGTCATGACTTTACATAACACTAACACGTGTATTTATGTAGAAAAATAAATGAATTTTCTTCTTGCTGTTTTTTTTGTAATTAAAGCCCCAGCCCTTAACCATTTAGCGAGATAGACAACAATAAAAGCCTTTTCCTCACAACTTTGAATGTGAATTGAAATATATGTGTCCTAACTGTGAGAGGATCAGCCTGCTCCGGAGATGCTGTTCCTTTGAATACAATCATCATAAGAAATCAAATCAAAGCTACAATGGACAAATACTAAAACAATTACATAAAGGGTTAGGGTTAGAAATTAAGTTTAAGTGGCTCTGGATTTATCTTATCACAGTGCGGCTGCCAGATTTCCTCCCTCATAATGCATGCTATCTACACACATCCAAAATTCAGGTCGCTCTAGATGGATGGTGATTCCCTCCCCTATATATTTAATGGACTATTAAACTTTTATAAGAGTCCACTCAGGTAACCTGCATAGTTCTCCACCACCATTTTGCTACTTTTGATGATGGCAAATCTCTTCCATCAGGGTTTAAAAATTTACAAGTTTGATTTAAAACGCGAAGCAGGGAGATAAAAGCCTCCATACTCTCCTAAAAACCCACAGATGGAGCAGTGTGTTTGAGGCTGCACAAAGGAATGAGAAATAGTGATTATCAGTCTATTTCTGGGTGACACTTTTATTTCACTCCACTGCTTTGACAGCATGAGATCAGACATGTGCTCAAATTATCCTCCTTCCTGTCCATACTTTACACAGTCCCCTGAGGGAGCTTGGATCGCAGTCCTGGCAAAGGCGCTTGGATCTACAGTCACATAAACAAACAAGTACAGTATGCCACAAAGACATGGCAGCTTTCGGCCCTTGTGAATGAAAACAGAATCCAGAAATAGGATAGAGGAGCTCGAACAAAATGAGAATTATGCAGAACGAATGCTGTTTGCCAGGATCCCCAGCCTGCTGCAGATTGCTAGAAAAGATGCGCATCTAATAACATGCTGGCACAGTTCCCCTGGAGCTGCATATTCACATTGGTGCATTTTAGTGCATGCCAATAGGTTTGAAAGCCTTTGACAGAGTTCTGAGCATTTCAATGCTTCATGCAGAATAAGTCAGAGCCTAAATATCTGACATAAATGCCCTATATTTACAGTATATATTCAAGGGTTATACAAATATTTGCTGTGATGATTTGCATTTATCTGGTTTAAAAAATCGATATTATGTATTATTTTTGGCTTATAAAAATTCGATTGGCACTTTATACTAGACCATTTTTAAGAATGTTAAATATTATAATAATATATCTTTTGAATGGGAAATAAATGGTGAAACAATTAACAAGGGTAAAACATGCCATCTGCCTGTAACTCCATGTGTTACCAGCAGAGGGAGGGATTTGAAAGAAAAGTCATTTGACCTGAAGAATTGCTAATATAACTTATATGGGAAATACTTTTGTTTTAAAAGGCACACAACTGCTGTGTGTGATGTCATAGTTGTACAATGACATCATTCTGTAGTATAACAGGACTGAGACAGGAGTTACCTGTTTGTACCAGATTCTGATATTAGCGTGGATAGATATACAAAATCTCTTGGTCTGTTATTTGAGTGAACAATGTTGTACCATGATTAAAAGCTCAAAAACGTTGATTTGCATAATATGTCTTCATTTAACATAGAATCCATGATCTCTGTCTCATGGCAACACATGTCTTATGTCTGTTCATGTTCAATGTGTCTGGGTCCAGGAGGTGCCAACATCAACATGAGAGTGGACCTTAGAAGCCACACATTTAGCAGAAAATGAACAGGCTAATGAAAAACACATACAATTTAAGATACAGTGCATAGTTTGTGGTTGTGATGTCTCTATTAGTGATTCAGTGGTTAAAGGTTTGGTTATACGAAAGCCATAAAAATATTTTGGTTCACGTCTGGCTGATACGTAAATGATGGCTTTGGTCGTTGGCTTAAGTGACTTGAATAAAATGGAGTGTTTTAGGGAAAGCCTCAAAGAGCAATCTCCAGAAAATTATTAGGTTGTTAGGAATAATTTCCATCATGGCTGAACATGTGCATTCCTCTGCGTATTGACAGTGTAACGAGAGGAGAGTGTGAATGTGCACCTCAGCAGAATACTCACTTTGACTTATTGTGCAGTGTGGGGGAGTCACACAACACACACTGTGCCTCTCTTCTTTTATTGAGAAAAAAACAGCTTCAGTTTATCATTTGAAACATGTCTAGTTTGAAGACGACTCCACTTTGTCCTCACAGTGTCAAATGTCAGTTATGTAACACGGCCTGTTTCAGAAGCACTTTGACTAAAATCATTATCGTTAGCTGTGATTGTGTGCACATTACTGCCTTCAACACTGAACATTGTGTATCTCTGTTCAGTGTCAGAGCTGGGGCTTTCTGCTCATGATCATTCAGAACAAAACACAGTGTCAGGTCCAGTCTGACTTTGGTCCAAAACACACACGGGAAATGTGGAGTGGAAACAAATCAAGGGCCCACACACTGCCTCAACAATGCACCACTGTCCACTCTATAATATTTAGAAATTATGAATGTTCATTTTGTTTCCTGAAATATATTCATGCTATTGCTGGAACATTTGATATTATACATTTTTAAGCTTTCAGTCAGACAGTTTCCCAAACCTATCCCCCTCCCTCCTCCATAAGAAGTACATTATAGCCGGGGTTTTTTAACTAGTGCCTGGAGACGTTATCTGGTGTACCTTTGGAAATGATCCATTATCACATAATAGGTCAAAATAATGTGAAAAAAACAGATTATATTTTTATTTATTTATTTATTTTATATGGACACAACAGTTACAAGGGACAGACCAGATGCATGTCTTTTAGTGCCATAGCAAGACCATGCTAATTTTCAACACTTGTCCATAAAGAGCTTTTAGGACACAAATGCACACATTTAAAATTTACAAATATAACAATAATGAAATATACAGTTCATTAAACATGTGAAATACGTTGCTCCGATTTCAGCCACAGTTTCAGCCATCTAATTTGGATGTTTAATTCTGTTTGTAGTTTAGAAAATGTTGTGCTTGTTTGATTATCTATATAATATCAGTTTCAGCTGGTGGTGTGCCATGTGATTGTTTTCATTGAATTAGATATGCCCCGACTCAAAAAGGTTGGGGAACACTGCATTCTAGTTTCAAACTCACTCTAGCCTTTGTCTAAACCATACTACTTTACACAACAGTTGTTGAGCTGTGGATAAGTAAGTCTTAAACCACTGTCACAGGCTCAATAGCTGGAACATTAAACTTGTGTATTCTCGGCGCAGTGCCACAGCAAACAGACTGCACCACAAGTGGAGGATCATTGTGAAGAGAGTACACTCAAAGTGATTGCATTCCCATCCAACATGACAGGAAATGAGACGCTCAAGCATAAATACATTCACTCGGAAAATGCAAAAGTATATAAACATCTGAAATACAGAGGACGTTTTGGAGAGCAGAGAAAAACTATAGATAAACAGTCAGCTTGTTCTATTTAGTCTGCATTTAAAGGGCCCACAAATCAGTCGTCTTTTAAAAACGAGTTATTGGGTGTCCGAGTCTGCGAGATATGTCCTCATCGCAGGTCAAGAAGAACTGTTTTCTGATAAGGCTCTGCTATGAAAACTATTTACAATGTGTATAAAAGAGATTTCAGAACAGATGTTTCAAGATAAGGCGTATTTATACATAGTCCAAGTGGTGCAGAAGTTTTGCAGCAGTAACTCCACATGTTGCAGGTCTGTAATGAATATGGACAAACAAAAGACTAATCACATTCACATCAAACGCACTTTTTCCTAATTTTTTTATCTGTCAGTTTGATAAGATAAGAGATTCTTTATTCGTCGAAGTAGTAAGAGCACACAGGGAGCACACAATACATACAATATAAGTGGCTGCTATGTTTCTTAGCTAGCTGTAAATGCTCCAATATCAATACAGTGCAAAGTTATAAACATATAGGGAACAAAAATTGAAAAAAAGTGACATTACTTGAGAGATGCGTAGGTGTGTGTGTGTGTGTGTTTGTGCGTGTGTGTGTGTGCACTTGAATGTGTCAGTGTGTCTGTGTGTCATAACCATCTCTTTGTTGAGACTGGCATGTATCTTGTGTCCCCATTTTGCACTTGTTGTGATTGATTGAAGCTGATTTAGTGAAAAGATAATACAGAAAAATAAGAAGCCAACCTTTCTGACAAATTAACGAGTGAAAAAACCAAGCGTGAGTAACACAGAAAGTGCACTCACAATGAATTCGTGGGCAGCAGAAGCTTACAAGGGAGAGAGAATGTTTCGGAAAATTAAGATAAGAAAAATGCTCAGCTTAAATGCAAAGCAGGATGAGACACTCTATGGAAATGAAAAGTTGCAGTGAGACACAACATTACAATGCAAAGGAGAATTAAGCATGTATAAAGTGAGCAGAATATGCTTCCAGTGTAGATTCTATAAATAGCAGTATTGTATTGAATGAGACAGCTGGGAAAGCACAGTGTCAGTCCGCGGGCTAAACAGACATGGCTCTAATCAGTTCTAGATCAAGGGAGACACATCAGCTGCAGTGGTTCCTTCAGCTATCGGAGGCTGGGGAGGGTCCACATGGGGGAGGAGAGATAAAAAGACGCTCAGCAATATCACTCATTATATAGGTCAGAAATAACAGCAGGTGGTAAATGAAGCTCCCATGTT